GTCTATGATCAGTGTACTACATACAGAGTCCCTTTTCACTCTGTTTTAATGAAGCGCAAGTGGACGACGAATCTTAATTCTGAATAGTGATGAGGATAAGTGAAACTGAGCTCAATATTGACAAAGGGTATTTTATGTTTCATTAAAAAAAATCATTGTGTATAATGAAACTGGTATTTAAAAATAAAAACTATACTAATCAACAAGTAGAAATCACATCAAAAAGTGTATAGCGGGAAACTGTATGCTTATTTCATCTCTATATCAAGATTGTATCGCATTTTTTATTGTACATGTATGTCTTATTTTCCTTTAAAAACTGAAGATGCCAAATGGGAATTATATTTTCAATGACCAAACTAATCTACAAATATACAGTTGTAATAAACATCAAAAACTATATCATTGGCAAATTGTAATTCTTGAATTAAACAATTTTCCAGAGGAAACGTTATGATTACGACACCGTAATATACTAATGGAAATTACAGAAAAATGTTGTTTGTCTATGAGATTGAAGCAAGTTAAAGTTAATTATGCCTGTAATTATTTATGAAATGTCAATGAATCTGTTATAAATATATCTGTCTATCTGTATTTATACATCATTTAAATTATCCCTAGAGACATCAGAAGTCATCAAACCAACCTTTTATTACACGGCCTTCAAACTGCTCACCGTCATCTATCATCATTATCATGGTAATAAAAAAATATTGATAACAGTATCGAGTACTCCAGTATTTTACATTAGTGGTAACAGTGGCTTCACGGAGAGTGGATTCCGTAGCAAGATGTGATTTCACTATTCCTTGTTGTTAGCCGCTTTGGTTCTTATCAGTGGCGTTTCACATCAGGTGAGGGGCCGAGCAGGGGCCACAAAATTTTCCAAGGGAGGCCACAGGTCATTCTTTGTAAAATGATAAAAAAAAAGTTGAAAGTGAGGGGGGAGGCAAAGCCGGGCCAACATCTTTTCTGGAGGGGGCATGACCCCCTGGCCCTACCATAGAAAAGCCACAGGATCTTATTTAGGTAGAACACAATTTACGAAAATCTTTGGACATGAATGTGAGCTGACTGTAGCCATTCCAGATAGATCTGATTTAGATAACTTTCAAATTTATAGCTTACTAAGGTCATTAAGGTGTAACGATCCTTACAAATTAATCACCATATTTCTGCAGAACACAATCTACAATAGTCCTCGAACAAACACTGAAGCCGAAAATGGCCAGAACAGACAGATCAGTTGTTGAAAATTTTCAAATTTTATATGCTAAAAAAGGTCATTAATGTATACTAAACCATGTTAAAGAATTCCAAAGATTTCTTCATCAAAGTAAAAAAAACTTATATTTCTATGAGTTCGATTGTAAGCGCTATTTCTCCTATTCATAACTATTGGAGTATGTCTGGGTAATAGAACATAAATTATAAGGAATATAATTATTATAGTACAACACACTTCTTTATGTCTGGGTTATAAGAAGTAAAACAATAACATCTAAGACGTAATTTCTTTTCTTCACTTTGTTTGAGAAGTTTGAGGTGACATTTCCTAAATGCTATGTGCTATTCTATAGATGGCATAGTTTCTATCTATGGATTTAGCAGTTTTTACGAGAGTCACGTCATAAAAAGCAAGAAGTACATACGTCTGATAGTTCAGAGAAATGTTCCAGTGTCCCCGATACACATACACTTTGAAAAACCTCTTTACGTTCCCTTTAACAACCCATACATACCAATATGTAGGTACCATTGCTTGATGTTGGGTAGCATGTGTCTATCAAGTACCACATGTTGTTATCCTAAGCTGTTAATCCAGTAAATAGAAAGATATTAGGCTATCCAGTTGTGATAAGAATCGAGGGCAATGGCTGTTACATATTACAAAAATACGATGCAAAGTAGTGCGTTAATCGGATTAACTCAATACGTGCACTCCGTATTCGTAGTCAACTGTTGTCCTTGCCTTAATTTTCATAGCAGCATATGGTATCTTTAATATTATATGATTGGACATTAAATAATAGGAAAAAAAATTTATTTCTCATCTCTTGAGATGAGCAATTCGTTGATAAAATTGCTTTCTCCTTGCACAACATCTTCGAACTAACATCTTGTAACAAATGACTCCTGTAGATTGTGACTGACTTTGCAGCTAGTTCAAAAATTGCAATTTCGACCAGTTGAACCATATGTGACTGATTTTTTCAACTGCTATGCGAATGAATCAATGTGCTATTCAGTTATTAACTATACAATTTTATGTATAATATTATGCAGAACGTACTTGAATGTATTCAGCTAACTATTCATTAAAGGAACTTTCATAGATGTGCATCTAATTTATGATGCAAAATGGCACTTATAGCTCAACACTACATATTCCATGAATGATAAAAGCTTGATTGTTGATTCAAAATCAGTAAAGGACACCTTCTGTTAAGGACCCTGAAACTTAACTTCCCAGAAAGCTAAGCTAAAAATATTTCCATGTAGTGAGCATCATGTTTTTTATACAAATACTTGCATAAGAGTTTTCAACTAGTTGAAAAAAAAAAACTAGACGACGACTGGTGATTAACGATTTCGACCAATTGTGACGACTTCTGGGCCTACTGCCGTCTTTTTTTTTTCGAATGACTAATAAAAGAGTAAACGAAAAGAAATGGAAATCTCTAAAGTAATACATGTATTTGACACGACAGGTGGTAATAACAGCTCAATGATTATGGTAATATCAACCAGAATGAGAACAGATTGACTGTATACAATATTTGATCTCTCGGGGATAGTCAATTACATATTTATAGTGATTAGTTATTGTCTGGTGATCAAATAGCTTCATCATATACACAATCATTTATGGCTGTTTTCTTTTCTATTTAAACGACAGTTCAAAGAAAAGACATTGAATCCTGTAAAATGACATACGGGTCTTTAGAAAATTGTAATCCTTACTGTGACGGTTAGCTTCGGTAGCAATACCAACCAGTGGCGACGCCTGCTTTCCGAGACTTGGGGTATAAATAGGGTCAGAGGGACTTAACACAACCCAGGGCCGAGTTTCACCGCCATGTCATTCCACCCGACCAGATCTAACGAATTATCAACAACAAAACCAAGAACACAGTATCATCCAATTTGGACCAATCCAACTACCAACTACTACGACTACCAACACTACCTAGTTTGCGATATCAGCATCCGCTGGAAGCGAACGTTAACTTGTCATCTACCAACCAACCAACCTTAATGGACATCTGCAGATGTTGAATTCAAAATGGAAGCGTATAGACAAGAGCATTCAACTGAGCATCTGAAAGGTTCTCCAAGAGACATATTTGGAAAATATAATTGATTTGGTGCCTTCTGACACATATTTGGGGGCAAAAACGTATGAAAATCATATTTCTAAATTTGTTGGAAATGAAGTGGGGGAGGGGGGGAGGGGGGTACATATATCTCTGTACCCTCACTGGGTCCAACAGATATCATCTGAGACCGGGTGTTTGCAAAGATCAAAACCGTTTGTTAAAGAATAAGAAAATGAATAAGATTTTACAACTCATTTCAAGACCCAATGTTCAACTAAAATGACACAACGCTTGGATTGTGAAGAAAGGTGGGGATTTTCATATCCAAATGTCGATGTTTTAGCTACCGATGTCAATCTGAAAATAACAAGTGACTCATTAGATAAATAAGTTTCTATAAACTCATCATACTTGAGAATAGATCTGCAAAGCCTACCTGCTGAGTTGTGAATCAGATACAAATGACGATTCAGCACGTTTTTGAGAAGGGAGCATTGATATTGACGTCGTCACGTTTACTGATTAAGGGAACTATTGTTTATTTTCAGTAAAATATCAAGAAATGAAGCCTTGCGATTTTTTATTTCAAGTTCCTTGTAGTATTTTTGCATTCTATCACATGCAGAGAATGACCTTAAGTCACCTTAAGACCGAAGTCAGTGTGGCAATGGCCCGAACTTAAAGGCTTGTCTTTAAACCGACTTTCGTTTATGACTGTCTGTAAAATTGTGATTTACAATTAATAATGGCCTCCAGAGTCTATAAGACGATAGTTTCTATGCCCTGATAATTAAGTCTTTATTTAATTTCCCTGGGGACGAGTTAGAAACAGGACATACTAAATAATTCATAATTTTATCAAATCAAAATAATAGACAGATTCTTTAACTTGTAAACAGTATTATCAAAAAAGCAATAATATACTTTGTTGTAAACTGCGATTGGTTTATCTTATTGATGAATCACATATCAAATGGACTAAAAAAAATTTCAAAGTTCAGAGTTCATTTAACATCTTCATGGCGATAATTTATCGCCTACACCAACATTTATAGCATTTCCTCTGAATTTGCCCTTCCCGCTACTTCCTATATCTGAACCTGTATCTGTGCTGTTTATAATGATATATTGTTGTTTGAGGCAAAACAACTGTGAGATGTCATAACATCGTAAAAGTATAGAAGTCAGCATATCCGCTTCCTGTTATTTCATCATTTCTGTGAGGTAATGTACCTTATTTCTTTAGCCCTTAGACTTTGATTAGAAAATTCCGTACACCAATAAAAACCCCTCCAGCTCTGTTTAGTATTTACTTCTTAGTGCACAAAAGACAAGCACTTGTTGGTCCGAAAATTACGACAAATCAAGAAAAAAAGAAATGAATATTATATCAATGCAGTTTTGTGCTCAACAGTTACAAAATAAACAAAGTGATAGACAGTACATCAGTTTTCAGTCGCGCTTCAAAACTACAAAATATAATAGAATGCAAAAAGATAACAATAACAATACAGTTTCATGGCGAACTCAAAATATGTAAAATAACAACAAAACAAAGAAATATTGAACATGAGATCGCTGGCAAAAATATCATTTTCGTCACAGGAAGAAACTTAAATGGCAACTTCAAAACGTGATCCTGTTCTCGGAATGTAAAATATCGCTTTTATTCCAATTTTAAGTGTTTTGTTGAACTTTTGATCTGTTTAATTTTCTACACAACACTAGTAACACCATAACCATGAACACCACAACTATTACTATAATGATTGTCCATATTTCCCAGTTCTCGATAACCTGGAATATAAAGAATAAAACCCTTAAAAAACAATTATTGTCGCGCTGATAATGGTTCTAGACAAGTATTGTGTTAATAGTCTAAAATGGTTGAAAATTAATAATTATATACTACACACAATACATGTCTGACGTCTATTGTGACAATGTCTTTTTTTTCTAGTCAAAAGACAATTTTTTTCCCTTTGTTCATGTAATTCATATCCGTAGGGCAGAAATAATTTAGCTTGACTGAACGTCTTTTCATACCGGGGGTGATTGAGGTGTTGGTTGTTCCCCTGTCGATTGGGTTGTTTCCTGCTCTGTTGGTTGTTCTCTTGTTGCGGTTGATGATTTCTCTAATGAGATGGTTGATGACGATTCAGTATAAACAGCTGTAGTAGTGTCTGAAACATAAAACTAAGTTTGAGATCAGCTTACATAGTAAACCAAAACATGTTAAGCAAGTTGATAATAATGTAAAACAAGTTAAACCATTTTGTTGCTTTCTGGGTATTCTGGTGTCCAATGCTCTGTGGTAAAATAATGAACACGTTTTTCTGTTAGACAGTTTAAGACATTTTCAAAACTTTTATTGAGGCAAATGGAGTAGCTTCTTCACATGTGACTGGTAGAAATGGAAAGATATTTACCTTCTACAACAACTGTCACGGTTAAAATGGCCGAAGTAGACAGTTGTCCATCCGTTACTCTGAAACTCAACTGGTAATTTTGAGTTGCTGTTAGACCTTGACGTCCTTTAAACCTTACAGTATTACCTGGAAAGGAAAGGTATTTTAAGACCGAAAACAATGCGATAAAGTGTGAAATGAACAAATCGAAAAAGTTTGTTGTTAAAAAAGTTCTCCTTGCAAATAATACTAGGTATTCAGCTTGTTTAACTTGTTGATTAAATCTCCACAATCTGAAGGATCCATGCATCGAAACTTGTACTGATAATTAATCAACTGTAATTAGAACAAGCATGTCCCAGAACAACATTTATATTCATACGTGAATAGGATTGGGGAACAGGAATAGGCCTTCTCACTAGGGGTTTCAGACGAAAAAATTCAATAAACGACAATAATAAATTAAGATTCCTTGCATTCTCATAGCTTGCCAGCATGCATGTCCATTTCTAGCACATAAATTGCAACCAACAATATGATATACCAATTGATTGAACTCACGTACCATTTTCATCGAAAGTAAAATATGCTGAGGAACCTAGAGAGATAGTCAAAGTATCTTCTGAATCTTTGTCAGTTACAGAAACCGTGAAAAATACTCCACTGTTAAAGTCAACATCGATGGTACGAGATGCTGGTAGGTTGGTGAATACAGGACTTTGGTTTTTGTTTAAAATATTTAAACGTATTTTAATGGTGTCTTTTAAACCGCCTTTATCGGTTACTCTTATTGTCAGTTCGACTATATTTGGTAATCGTTCTGGATCGGTGTCATAATCTACAGCATATGATATTTTCCCACTTGATTGGTCAATTTTGAAATAATTTGAATTTTGAGATGGTATGATTGTAAAGGTGAAAGTATCACTGGAGTCCTGATCAGTAACATATGGGAGGAGGGTGGAAACCAAGACAGCGTTTTTCTGAAAGAGAAGAGATTTGATATTTCAACAATATTTATTCTGAGCTTTCTAGGGTTACGGGAACCCTAAGGACAACCGGTTCATTTCCCTATAAGGACAGAGGACCACACAAAGGGAGAGCTTAAAACATAACGAGCTTTCTGCTCTTCACCAAAAATATGTTACATTAACGCAGCGTAATATAGGGCGTGCTTAAAATGCCGTTAGATTAGTCGTCGTTTCATTAAATCATTAGGTGGGAGGCTGAAATATCAAAGAGGACTCAATGGTAAAATTTTCTTTTGTAAAATAAGAAGAAATTTGAAAGTTGGAAAGCCATTCTCAGTTCTGGGTGGCCTCCTTGCTGAAACGCCATTGTAATAAAAATAATAGTAGGCCTAGATCAAGAAAAAATAAATGAGGTAAATTTACCAGTCCTTCTTGAACATTAAAGGTAATACGGGATTCGTTGAATGATGGAGGTTCATTGACGTTGGTGATCAACAGGGTCAGGTTTGCAGGCTTGGACAAAACCTCTCCATCAGATGCAGCGATAGTTAGGTAAATCGTTTGGGGTAGACTTTCAAAATCAATTATTGCACCTGTTTTTACCCTGACTTCGCCAGCTATATGAGAAAGATATGTATTAAATTTTAGCTCTTCTACGTTTTTTTTAAGTTTTAAAGGTTCGAAGGGAGGACAAAAGAAGCGCATCCGGACGAAGAACAGTTTACTACAGACTTCAGTAATGAGGTAATGATCGAAATGCATAACGTAGGTTTGTAGAGTCTTCATTTAAAGCAAGTATATCAATTGTTTCGATGTTGAATCTTTATTAACTTTATTAACCACTGGAGCAAATTCCGTTGAGGGACAGTCATGCCCGCCCATACGGCACAAATGGTTGCATTCAATTACTGAACACCTTTTTCTTGACAAATTCATGATTATCATAAAGTAGTGAAGTTATTGGCAAAATCAGTACATTAAAACTAGTAGTATGAATAATAAAATTGTCAACCTAAATGTAATCAAACAATGTGAAATATCTTACCAGAAGAGACAATAAATAGGTTTTGGTTAACAGGAACGAATGATTGAAGAGAGAAAGTGATAGTGTCACCGTCTGGATCTTGCGCAGTAACTTGTAAAATAGACGTCCCCCCTGCTGTGTTTTCTGGTACAGATTTAGTAATCGGCAGGTTTTGAAAAACTGGTGGTTGATTTATGTTTAGAATAGTCAAAAATATATCGACGGAAGCTGTTAATCCACTTTCGTCTTTAACTTCAACTGACAATTTGACATTGTTCGGCAACCGCATTGGACCGTAGTCGTAATCCTTTGCGTAGGTGATCCGTCCTGATGAAGAATTAATTGTAAAGTAGTCTGAATTGGTGGTAGCCAAGAGTTTGAAATTGAACTGCGTTGAATCCGGATCCGTCACCCTATTAAGTAACGTGGACACAACGATGAATCCAGCCTAAAAATGAAATAATTTGTTATTTTCTTTTACCTTCACCTCATCTGTAAGGAAATTTTAAATGAAAGACGTATCCATTTCACTATCCAGTTCACCTGCTGAGATATTTTGTTTGCTGAGTTCGATATGTGTACTGCATAATATATTTGTATAAAATTACTTGCACCATTTTTATTTGTAGTTGCCCTCAGGAATGTAAATCAACCAAACAAAGAACGAGAACATTGCCAAAAATATCTGCATGTGAGTATTGAGGGCGTTAATATCCTCACCATTATTCATCTACGTTGGAGGTATACCACATAACTACATCAGTTTGGATATCAAGTATACTATACTTACTTCGCCTTCAGAGACAGTGAGATTGTAAGACGCCTCTGTGAAGGCAGGAGGCTTGCTGGGGATGATCAGAAAATCAACATTGACTGGCAGGGACAGCAGTAATCCGTCATCCACAGACATGATCAAACTAAAATTGTTCAATTGAAGGTCGGCTAAATTGGATCCTTGGCGAACTGAAAACCGTTTTGCTGAAAGATGAGAACTAAAATCATTCTATATCCTGCTAGTATAGCTTTTCCATCGCTGACATGTAAATACACACACATGGAATAGAATAACTAGTTATCAAATTAGAACATAGGGATATAGGTAGACATTTGATTCGAAACAGATTTGGCGCTTTAAGACATTGGCGATTGATCCCAAATTGGAAATCCATGGTTTGAGTTCGGCAGAGGTCGACATTTCAACCCGACCAGATGAAAATGAGTTTCATTACAGTTCAGTTTATTTTTACTTTGAATAAATAAACCAGGTACTATAATGCAAAACGAAACCCGAAATCCAAAACAACATTTTGGCAAGACATTGGTAGCAGCTAATAAATGTTTCACATGAGGAAGTATATCAATCATAAGTGAGTAAGTAGCTATCTTAAGAGCAGCAGAGCTGCCAGAACAGAGGGCAATCAACCAATGTATGTGAATATGGACTCACTGATGGAATCGAAGCTGAGATACGAGGATACTAGCTGTGGATCATAGGTTATATGAAGAGTAAGCGTGTCACCATCAGCGTCGAATGTCTGTGCTGTAAAAATAACGCCCTGTACATTTGATAGCACCTCTACGGCTGACGTTGGTACGTTCACGAAAATCGGTGCGGAATTGTTAGCTGAAAATAAAATGATATTCTATTATCGGTCCATGTGACTTACCTCGAACCCTGACCAATATTCAGATATTTGTAAACATCGTTGTAGTAGTTCCACATTACGCTAACCACCCACCATCCACTTCCCCCTCATCCCAATATATCACACTATTAACAGCATGATATACATATCCAATGATACTTAAAAACGTATATGAAGGTTAATTAAACTCACAATTGATGCACAGGCCTTTGTAACACCACTGAAATGGAGATAATAACTTATCTAGTGTCCGAATGGAAATCCGAATTCAAGATTTTTTTTATGATAATGAAAACATCTCAATCGTTATTAGTAACATTCTCACCTGCATTCATTACAGTCATTAGTAATAACACAAGGTTCTGATATCTTAAAAAGTGGATATTTAAACGTAACACTGTAGTTGTCTCATCCATCCTTCTAACTAACATTACAGGTGAATTTCACTCAGAATTTTTTTTCAGATGGTGTTTAGTTGCAGTAATGGAATTAGTCGTTTGAATATTTGAAAAGGGGGAGGGAGGCGATCCATTTTTCCAAGCGAGGAGGGGGGTATTATCTACAGGCCTGGATTGATTGAAGCAATAATTGTCACATACAGACCTTATTTGTGTCGCACGTTGTATATTCCATCAACATGACTGAAGAGCATGAAAACCTTCCGTCCGGGAGAGTTAGTGATCGACAGTAGCCTAAATAACATATTTTGTCTTTGTCATTCACATAAAAGGCCTGGAAAATAAATTTAATTTTCATTATTGGTTTCATTTTGAAATCTTCTGGAGAACTTTGCAAATATAACACTATTGGGTTAGGTTTCGAAATATCATGCAAAAAAAAACTTATTCATAATGTCTGTATTTTAAAATGAACTCTATCCAAAATTATGTACTTACTTCGCAAAATATGGAATCTTCATCTTTTAGTATTTTACATTGAGTGTCCTTAGTATAGTATTGGCCAGATTTTTGAGTCGCTGTGAAATTCTCACCATAACGATTATCGTTTACACAATCAACATCGTCCCTGGAATACAATCGTTTCTCAAGATGTAAAACTGAATTCAAACAGCTTTTTAGACTCTCAAAAAAGGATATCAACAAGCAAGTCGGATGCATTCTATATGCTCAGTTACCATCCACGAACACATTTCATTCATATACCGATATTCGTTTATTAGATCTACAATGTTTAGTGCACGGTATCTTTTTCACCTACCTTTCAACAAAAGTTTTCATATCACGAACAGAACATGTTGAAAATTGCCAAATATGCCTGGCATTTGTTATATTTCTAGCAGGACCACTTGATGTTGCCATGATGTACCGATTTGTATCATTGCATCCCACACCGGAGTCATGAAGGGCGCCCAGTCTATAGAATCAAATTAACAAAGCTTTTATGAAAATAAACATGAAACAGAGATTATGATATTTAGATTTTTGTCTTTCAAAACAAATCACAATGTAATCTAGTCTGAAACATCTATTCCAGGCTCTGATGGATATTTTGACAGTTATACACCAGTCAGGCATCTGTCTAGCTATCAGAGACTAGAATAGAGACAGGTGTTTCGGTCTAAATGTAACAACCGGGCTATACCTCTCATAATAATCTAACGATCCACCATTATATCACTTGAGATAATGATAACACATGATGACAGAAAGCAATTCATTGGACTGGTGATGACGACAATAGAGTTTATTTCAGTAACATCAAAGTGTCAGTCAACACAACAAGACCATAGTAAGCATAGAATCTAGTATGCAAAAGTAGATGAACGCCAAAAAGTATATTGTCTTCTAACAATCAGATGTCATATTGATAAACATTGCGATTAGGTCGAGATTAATGAAAGAACTGGAACACAGATCTGCGACTATGGTCGTTGACTTCATCCACATGCAGAGATGCGATTTCAGATGTCCCCTGCTTTAAGATTTATTCAACAGCAACTTACGCATGACCCAATTCGTGTGCAGCTATCAATGTTGTCAGGGCTATATGGTTGGCTTCCACTATAGAGGTACTTCCCTTCAGTCTTACAGTGCTGTCGGGGAAAACATATGCATCTGCTCTGCAGACAGTTGATGTAAAGGCTCTTCCTGTATAATAAAAATAATAACGTCTAATTAAATGTCGGCATTCTTTTTGCTTTTGTGAATTCTGTGGCATCGTGATTCTTGTGATTATTAATAAGATGGGACAATAAATCGAGGCCTCGTGTGCTACAGGCTGTGAACGTTATAATCCCCTGGACAGATCGAAAAAGCGTAGGCTTAGTCGCTGTCCTGGGAAAATTTCCCTAATTGATCATGGCGTTGCTCTTCATTATCCTATAAGGTGCTTAAAAGTAGGACGTCAAACTTTTTTTATCCATATTAGTTTGTTGAACCATGTTTCATTTTAACGACCGGTTACCCTGTAGGACTAAGACTTACCTAAACTACTATCTATTCCATTCTTTTGAAGATTGTATCTGAAAAAATACAAACCATAAGAATATGCCGTGTTCTTTATATTACCATTATATCTTATTTGAAATGAATCATCAGCTTCAAAATAGCAAATTAATAGGCTACACAAAGTATTCCTAACGTACTTTTAGTCAAAAAAAATTATTAATTAATTCGCGTATACTTTCTGTCGAATGTTGCACATATTAAAACACACTACATGTTCTACAGAGTAAGGCGTATCCAATGGTATTTCAACTTTAATTTTTTGATTCTTCAAAAGGTCCATGACTTGCCATGAGATTAGACAAAATATAGAGCTACGAAAAATATACGAACCAACTATTCTGAACGAAGTCAGAAAAATTTGGCCCTACCCATTTCTCGAGCGTGATAAAGAGACGGGATATCGACGAATACGTCGAACGCTGCTATTGACGTACCCAGTAAAGAACATGTAGTGATCACTGGGCGGAAGCACTATTCCAGACGGAGGGGATTCTAACCAAAATTGAGTTGCATTTAGTGCATCACCAACATCCAGATCACCATCTGTTTGAAAAGGTTCAGTGTACGAAGAATCTTGTCTATTCTGAAAAAAGGAACATAAATTATTGCAAGAGAGGGTTTGATACCATCTTGATTTTACGCTCAGTAGCTAGCAAGAATATGTTGCCTCCCCCCTCCCCCCCCCCCCCCTGAAATATTTATATGACTTAAAATACTTGTTAGTCGCTACAGTTGAGCCCCTTTCAAAAATGTTTGCACCCTGAAACCCTGGGCTAGCTACGGGCCTGATTGTATTGCTATCTACTACAGTCTTTGGAATTGTGGCTATGCTAATTTAAGCACGAACATTGACGCTTTGGACAGTTTGATAGTTCCCGTGCTTGCAATACTGTAATATGTGTAACTTACCTCTATTATGATAAGAGCAGAAAAAACAATATTAAATGCAATGGTTCCTTCAATTTCATTTATATGTTGAAATCGTACTTTTATCTACAGAATAATAAATACAGCTTTTTCAATCATTAGGTAATGACGTTTGATGGTTTTAAAATCAAAGACATAAATTGGGGCGTTAAGTTCAAAATGTGCTGCATATGCTGAGTTACCAGTTTGGTTCTATTATCCATTTCTTGCTGTTCTTTCTCTGTTTTCCTCGCTTGTTTTCAATGTAATAATTGTTTTCAGGGGATTCATACAGAATCAGTTGATACCAGGATTCTGAATGTTACTTCTTCTGGTGATTGATGCTTCTGCATCTGATGAAGAATCCTTCTGGTGATCAGGATGATGACAACGGCAATGATGATGATGATGATGATGATGGCATGTCAACCTACCGTCTCTGCTAATATTGCATACTAATATCTCATTTCAGTCTCATTGTTGCTGTTGTGTCGGTGATGATGATGATGATGATGATTATGATTATGATGATCTGATGCTGATGATACAAGATGGAAAAACCATGATGATGATGACCCTACCGTTTCTGCTACAAAGGCGTAGTAGTTTCTCATATCAGCTTCAGCTTTTGTCGAATCATTTTTGTTCCTTTCCAAGAACCTGAAAGTCAAAGTTCTTCAAGTTAAGATCACTGGGCAGTGATTTGGATTATCGCGGTACCACCTAAAGCTCAAGGTAAACAAATTTCTGACACATAGGTTATTCAGCCTTTGCCCACTCTAAACTCTAAGTATAGTAGGATAAAGAGGAAAAACTGCATTGCTAGTGATAAAGAGTAATTACTTAAAGAAGGTTTGGTAATCAGCGATGAGGCAAACTTCTATAGTGTATGTTCTAAGCGATCTTTTGTATCTGTGATGCCTACTATGTTCCTCTTGCATATCTGAAATGGGAATTTATACAATGAAAAAAGTCAAAGCTAATTATAAACGTAAAAAAATTGAACTCAATGAGCAGCAATGAACATCACAGTCTTTTAAGGTGTCACCAGTAAACTCAATTTACTCAATTCAATGCAAGTAAAGAAGTACTTTCCCTATAATTTATAAATCATCTGGTTTATACGACCACTTGTTACCTTGATATGTTTGTCCCAAAGTCTCTTGTCGTATGATCTCATGGACTCCATCTGTGGTAGGTTCTATGTGAATCAACCGTAAACCAATTTGCATGTGACCCTTCTGTAAAGACAAAAGAGATGTCATGTATAATGGTGCTTTTTTCAAGAAGCCTGTTGGATTGGTGAAAGTGAAAGATATACTTGAATGCTAGAAACGTTCCGTTCCATTCGATCCGTCTGCTTCGATAGAAAATGCATCTGTGATTTGATTAAGAACCTTGATGCAGTATAATACTCACCAAAGTGTATTTTGCGGACGAAGCTGGAACTCTTCTGACCAACAATACGGATTTGGTACTGTAGTCAACATAGCTGGATTCATCCTGAACGATACGGATTTAGGTAGATAAGATAAGAAATAAGTCACACCTGGTACCAGTCCAGAACACGATGAACTTGTGAACGCGATAAAACCTACAGTTTTGATTCAATTTGAATGAAACATTGTAGGCCTATATCTACGTATTTTGGCGAGATTACGAATGAACTAGATTAACACGTATTTCGATGAATGGTCTCTGAGTAATTAACCTTGAATTAGCCAAAATGTGTCAATTTTGGGTCGTACACCTAACATTGCATTATATTCAAGTATTCAAGTATTGTTGAATTAAATGTCTGTTGATAAACAACACATTGGTATTACGAAATCCGCAATTGTTAACTTCAAGTTTGATTGGAGTTGTTGTAATAGGGAATACCACTCTTCATTTGATGTTGACGGCCGATTAAATTCTCCAACCGTATACCGAAGCGTCCATCAAGAATACGTATCTTACCTCTGCAGTATGTTTTAAAGGGTAGTTTCCCCCTTTCCTACAGGCTATTGTTTTTAGAGGGGCTATCTTCGTCAAACGTAGCACAGCAGCTTCATGGTCTCGTCGTATGCGGAACACCAGATTATTAGGCATTATTTCATTCCTATTCCAAGATGATTGTCTTGCCTCGACACCATCTTCTAAGAGAAGTTCCAGTGTAACGTGTGGGGATAAATCTGAAACAATTATTCGGTATAAAAGGTACTGAAAAAGATCCCATAGCTGTGGCGAGTCTATAGGTGCGTGAAGGGAATCACAGACGTCTGGTTGAAAATTGGAATGGTGCAAATTGATGCTATCAGTGTCCCAGATACACATACCCAATTTAGAAAACATCTTTACAATTCCTTTAAGGGTAGTTCACAGTCATTTCTCTCCTATGAAAAGTGATGCATTCCTTAAAAGGGAACTCACAGATATTTCTGTCCTACGAAAAGTGATGCAAAAAAAATAAATAAAAGTGGGGAAGGCAACGCTGGGCCTTTCTCGCTTCTGGTATATCATTTAAGTCAAATGATAGTGAAACACATACCCGGATCTTATGAATTAAGATTTAAATTTTGATTATTTTATTAATCGCCAGAAAGATTAGAAATTTTATTTTATTTGTCAAATTTAACTTTTGATAACTCCACACTTACCTGCTAAAACAATCAAAAAAGGGGAAAAAAGAATAATGAATCTCGCTATCGGAAGCATCCAATCCATTACCATAAAGCATATAGGATTTACGTTCCTGGACAATTGTCTGTGGATTTACAAATACAAATCCGATAAGACTATCATACGTCTCCAGTATGAGAAAATCACACAAAGCGCTTACACATAAAAACACATCCTGTAATCCTCAAGGAACATTTTTTACGAATATTCCATAACAGGGCATGGCTCTAAAAAAGTCATTTTTTTACATGAAATGAAAGTATATTGACCCTGCGAAAGATTTGGGGAGTGTCGACTTTTTAATGCAATGCGTCAATAACATAGATAAAAGGTGTTGATATGCTTTAGTATAAAGGACACAGTTTTGTTACACAGTGAAAAGCTTATATATTCTTTATTACCAACAGATAATAATGCATTACAAAAGAATTTTTAAAAAAACAAATAACTATTAAATTTACACAATACAGATATACGAATAATAAAAACATACAAATGACATGTAGCAAAGGCAAAAGAGTTCGTACCAAAACTAGCATTTAAACAATAGTGCATGTGTATTGTTGATCATTTATACTGATTTGTGGTCGTAGAATTAGTCCCTCATGCCAAACCGCTTCTAAGGCTTTTGAAATGTCACGAAATGACAAGTGTTAGATGTCTGACCTCTTGTTAAAAGATAAAGTAAACCTTAATAAGAAACTTACAGCAGTTTAACTGTTGGTGAATCCAACCACTCCATCGGATACGGCCCAGCGAAAGTTCCAAGTTTAGCAAGAGAGTAAAATACGAAGAACTGATGAGAATAGTTGAAAATCCAGTTGCATGCATATTCTGCTAGTATGGTCACATTAATATGATCAGAAAGTAATCGGTCACCGTAATATGGTCACAAGGTAATTTATCACAATAAAGGGATTGTATGGGTATATTTTTATGTATTGATATCATCAATTTACACCATTCAATTTTTTCAGTCAGACCTCTGTGACTCTTGCAATATCACTAAAAGAAAACGTTTTATGACGTCACTATCGTAAAAGCTGCTTATTGATATAATACAGTCATGTATTATGAACCTTTGTGTTGTTGACGTAATAAAACGCATAGTTAAATTATTATAGTGGAATTACAATAACAACACAATGTTTAATGGAAAACTAGAATGGTGCAAATCGATGCCTTCAATGTCTCTTATACACCTTAATTCTTCAGAAAACCTCTTCACAATCTAAGACTTGTACGGCATTCAGAAGTGAGGAGTACATAATTTTATCACTATCACAATCTGTACAATCCCGGTAATAGTCACAAGTTATATTGGTCGTAGTAGTCTAATTTGGCCACAATACCGTTGAATTGGGTAAAGTAATTGTATATGTGGACTGTCAAAATGGATCGCTATTAGTACATGCATTATTATGATTCCAATAATCACTATAGCTTTATGTGTTGTTTATTGAAGTTTTAAACCAACTGAACTTCCAGATCTATAATTTTCCTGTTAGAAATTAACTCAATATTCGATATCAGATTTCAATAACATCTGTAGCCACTGTGAATACGATAGATAATATCGTCAGTGGATGTTAAGTTTTTCTCAAAAATTTTTATTTGAATTGAGTTTTAGAACGACATGGCGCTTAATTCGTGCAGAATTTGGATTTTGAGGTCAGTATATTTGATCATCAAGGTAAGCCGATTATCAGCGCACCTGCCAGATGGTTCTCGAACTCTTTGACCCCCCCGAGATAAAACCCAGGTGTAGGACTTCTTGTGTGACAAACGTCATTCTACCTACCGCGCTCACTTCGTATCCAATGTTTTCTACCAGATAGCGTTTATTTTGAGATCATTATTGCTCTAATCCGTTTATGCCCTTGCTGTTAATTGTGTAATCCATGTCGCTTGCGATAAGAGGCATATTCATCCTTTAAAGCACTAGTTCTGTGTTACCGCAATGGCCTTCAACTTAGTCGGTTTGACTTCTTCCATATGTACAGCTAGTGTTGCTGGAGAGCCATATGGGTACGATAACACATCCTCTTTCCATTACGCTAGACTAGAAGGTTGTATCATATGTTGGAAATCATTTCCATTTTGTCTTGGGCTTACCCCTAATTATATATCTATTCATTCTGTGACTTTATTTCCAGTAGCTCAAATACTAAAGAGACTGGTTCAACCAAGTCCTTGGGCCCCCACCGATGAGAAGGCACCCAACCACAGAAATCATCGACTAACAGGCATTAAATTGACTTACAGATGGTCTCGGGCTGTTGGAGAGCATATGGTAAAAACAATATTCCCCGGGACCCGGGCCCAACTCATCTAGATAAGCCACTGTTTTAATTCAATTGGTATAGTCGATCTAGTTAATGTATGATTGTATTCTAATTACAGAATTATATCCGTGAATGTGATAATTTTATGGTTAATAGTTCACTATGACAGAAACAGAAAAACCAATCAGAAACCTCTACTTTCATTCTACCACCAGCAAATTATGTTAAAGCTATCCCGATATTTTCAACAACAAGCAAGGCGCCATGTTGGATATCTGAAAGTTCATAAAACCGGAAGTGGTACAATACACAACATTATTGCGCGCTTTGCATTAAAACACGATGTAACTGTGGTACTGCCGTTCAATGGAATCCATATACTTGAGAATCAGAATCGGATGTCGTGGAAACTACTTCCAGTACCAAAAGATCATGAGTTCGAAATGCTGTTTAACCACGTGATATTCAAAGCAAGACGATTCAGGAATTATCTACCAAACGACACAATTTACATAGCCTCTGTTCGTAATCCGTTTAGACAATTTGTTTCTGCATTCACCTATTTCAAATCGATGTATGTGCAAAAATTACGAACAAATAGTTTCCACTCTTCACCCATTCACGCCTTCCTTACAAATACTTCCGCGTACGATTCCAGCATCCGTTTTTCATTGACTCATAATTCTATGGCACGTGATTTTGGATATCCGGCTGCATATATCGACGATATTTCACTGTTTAAAAAGTATTTAAACAAACTTGGAGATTTCTTTCATCTAGTGGTCGTGTTGGAGAGGTTCGACGAGTCTATGGTCGTATTGAGGAGGTTGTTAAACTGGTCGGTGAAGGAGGTTCTTTATATTGAAATTAATAAACAGAAATATAATGTAACTTATCATCAGGATGACTCAACACTTCATCAGAAATGGTCCCAATTAGATTACATTTTGTATGATTTTTTCTATGCAAAGTTAAACAGACAGATTGCAGAACAAAAGAAGGATTTCTACATTGAGTTGACTCTTTATAAACAGGCCCTTGTTGAAGTACGAGAATTCTGTCAAAAGCACAATATTACATCATCAATTCAAATTGACAGAAATGAATATTCTCCAGAATTTACAGTTTCTAAAAACGATTGTAAATTGATGATGACAAAAGAAAAAGATTTGATGAATATTTTAGTAACTGAAAGAAAAGAAAAGTTGAAGACATTAGGTGAAAATCATCATTATTTACGTAAATTTCACGATAATGTCAAATGGTCACCTTCGATACAAGTGGAGGTTTAGTGTAACAGTAAGCTGGGACTACGATTGTCAAAAGGCACCGGCCAAGACCACATATCAAGATCACCAAACGACGATATGTTTAATTATCAACATTTCCTATATTTAATATGATCATAGTTTTAAACTTCAGCTTCAGTTTTATTTATAAAACGACAACTGGGTCTCTTAAAAGCTAGTAGTTTCTGTTGACGGAGATCAGCAAGACAGAAAATAGCTATCATAATTATAGATATGCGTCAATAGTTTAGACAGTGGCGTTTTTAGAGGGGAGAAAAAATTGAAAATAAAGTCTTCTTTCAGTGCAAAAATAGCGTTAGATGCATTCTCCGTCTTCCAAGATTACAAAATTTTCCTGACCCCCACCGTGAATAGTAGGTCCACCCTCTGTTGTTCATTTATTGCTGCTACGAACAGCGAGTTACATATTTTTCTATCATTATGTAACTCTGTGTTTTGTAACCTATAAGTATATATTAAACGTAAATTAAACGGTGAAAATCAGACATATTAGGCCTAGTCCGAGTCCTCCAGGGAACGTATTGCCAGCATTATTGCTTTAAGCCTCTTAATTCCACGTTATATATTGTCTCAATGTTCATACTTGACTGACATACAGGGAGGATTGTCCTCGTCTAGTAAGCGCATGTTGAAATTGGGGTAGCTCAGCGAGTTAGGGGCTAGCTTAGATCAATTCCCTTAAAATGCACATGCCATAATATGATTAATAATGCTCCAAACACACTTTTACTCATGACTCCAATTTGTTATGTCCTATCAGACATATCGTATTTGAACGTTACTTGTCCAAAAGTTTTAAGACATTTATAATCTTCTTTTCGCCCATATTACATTCAATAATGTAATTGGTAAGTTACAGATAGGCGGAGGAGATCGATGACATGGTTAATATTGGCAATATAAGTACTTACCTGAAAGGGGAAGCAAATATACTTCAAATACGGAAGTTATTTGTAGTCTGATTCAAGATTAAGACTTGTAAAACGAGACGAATGTCTGGATAAACCGGAAGTAAACAAAACGGAGAATTTTACCGTTATCTTTGCACTAAACTTCATTATCAGTGGATACAATGGCTTTAAAGTGGAAATCTACTTGATATTATCTTTGTATGTAGTAGGAGAATTGATATCTTTGGAGAGCCAACTTGTGTTAACTTGAAATTCGTCCACAAACAGCAAGATAATGTCTTTATGACTGAATCTCTCCTAAACATAGAGAATATGATGTTTGTAGTAAAACATGTAACTGTAACAGATCAGTAAGAAGGAGATATCATGGGGTGCTTAAAAACCGTCAGTGATAGAATTATTTGGGCTTTAGAAACAGCGTTTTATAAGTGAGTATGAATGCAACTTGTATGGTATATTGTATTGTTAATATTTAGAAAAGAAAGATATGTGCCAAGATAATTTTGTATTGTAATACTGTAATAGATTACCTACGTGAACCAATTCAGGAATTGCAAGTACCTTAGGTACATAATAAGCTGATTTTCAACTAAATAGTACACCTGCTTACATCCAAATTATTTGTTTGAATTCGAATAGAGTATTGAACTTGTAGTAAGTGTACTTAATAATCAACTAACTTTGTACTTAGTCAACACACTTTCCTGATAAACTACATTTCACCTTAGATATGACTAGCCAGTATACAAGATATGACTATTACTTCTTGACCACAGTAGTGGTAGTATTTATTCTTTCCTGTCATTGCATCAAGCTTAAAAATTACTTTCACACTGATGCTATAGGTTGTTGAAGTCTTCACTCTATAGATAGAAATATAATGTTTCATAAAGCCTTCATTCTCAGAAATTTCACAGGTAAATCGCACACATACTGAACTGAAATTCTGTCCCTGTAGAAATGAAATAAGAATAAGTCTTGAAAATAAAGCACTTGCTTTGAATTTAATTGTAAACAAACCAGTTGTCAGCCAAAAAGTTCTGGCACTTAAATAGTTAAGATGGCTATATCTGTTTCATTACTCAAAGTACTTGTTTTATTCTAGTGTAGGTGTATTTATTGGTAACTATCCCTGGTTGACCATTATTCTCTCACTGATCATCTGTGGAACTTGTGGTATTGGTTTAAAAACTTTTAAAGAAACAAAATCTCAAGAGAAACTGTGGGTACCCAGTGATTCCAGGGTGTTAAATGAAAAACGATGGGTTGATAAGAATTTTCCTGTTTCTACCAGATATGTTTCTATTGTTGTCACCAATCCTGATGTCCTTATGCCATCTTTTATCAATGCTGTAAGTACTGAACTATTCATAATGAGTAGTCTATATTACAAATGTATTCAGTGGCTGCTCCAACTGAAGATATCTTAGGTAACAAAATTTATAATTAAATACTATTCCCCTATAATAGTGGTGAAAATAGTAATGTTTTTCAGTGATCTTTGAAGGGAAAAGAAATATATATATATTCTGTACCACATTAGGGGGACACCTTAACCTTAGCATGTTACTATTAAAAACTCTTAATGGACATGATATAATGTGTATTTATATTTAAGAGCTATTATACTTTTTCTAAGCTGTGAATATATTGACTTCATTTTTCTCAATACACACATTGTATACACTATATTCAGTTGGTTTTCTAGTCCATATGGGAAACTTAGATTTACCATTCAACATCTATATACCGTTTGCAAGTGGTGCAAATTTAAGCTACACACCCTCACACACCCTCACACATACAAAGGTCAGAAAAGCTCATTTGCATTGTGGTACAATGAATGTGTTAATTAAGATCAGAGTTAATTAATGTAATGTTATTATTATTATATATTTGATATAGCTGTTGGAGTTGAAAATAGAGTTTGAAAATGTTACTGTAAATGGAAAAGAATTTACTAAATTTTGTTACAAGTAGGTATCTATTCCAGGTCATTTAAACCTTTCTTCATTAATTATGTACATCAATAATTAGTTAAAGAGGATGTTGTTTCTATTGTAAGTTGCAAGTCAGTTGTCAACAAACAATTGTAAACAGATTACCAAAATTGCAAACAAATTTCATCATTTGTAAACAAATCCCTTTAATTGTCAAAAAATGGCTTCAATTATGAAAATAATGAGTATTCTGATTGTGTTATCATTGTGTTATAGTTTACATCTTACTGAGTCACGTTCTTCAGTTTTTTCCTTTTTCTCATTTTTTGGTATCTTTTTCCTTACAGGGTATCTTCAAAATGTCGTACAACTGGTTTGTTAGAAATATGGAATTATGATCAGTCAACTATAAAATCATTGTCCAGAACTCAGATATTAGATACTGTTAATAATATAACTCATAGGTTTGTCTTCATCCTCTTCTTGTCCAGAGTATGATATTTTACTCTTATTTTTTCCCATTTTGCTCTAATTTGTCCCATTTTGCAACCTGAGTAGCATGATAATTAAAATACAGGTTATAGAGGTATCGCAGCTTAGACAACTCTCTAAAAAAGAGTTAGCATAAACATTGTAAATGTGTGTGTATGTTAATTCTAGCCCAGTATTTGGTAATGAGTTGGATGTTAAGAATTATCTGGGTGGTGAAATCAGACGAGATAGAAATGGTAGAATTATTAGTGCTGAGGCTACACAGATAACATGGCTTCTAAAACCTGTAAGTCATCAAGAGAGTATGGCGTATATGATCTTGTGGAATGGAATAATTCATCAATCCTCATTCAGTCTAACAAGCTGTTAAATCTTCACTGTGAGGTTAAGCCAGCTCGTATTCAAGTTCCATTAGAACTAAAGCCTTGCTTTTTAATCTTAATAAGGTTGCTTTATTCTCTGCCGTACAGTGGACATAAAAATCTGTAATCAGATGTATTTTAACAAGTGCAGGTCCAGTATTTTGAGGTATTTTTGAATTATGAAGACTTCACCAAGTAAAGGAATATTAATGTTTGTTTTTCCAGGGAGCTGTCTCTAAAGAATGGGAAGGACAAGTTATTAAAAAGGCTCTACAAGGTGATAAGATGTTTGAGAATATTTATGTTTATGCTTCTAGAAGGTAAATCAATAACCTGTTCACATTTTCTCTAATTTCAGCTTTATTTTCACTTTAGCACTTTGGATTTGTTAACTTTGTTGTCCTAACTTTGGGTTGCAAACAAAGGTATAGCTGTTAGTTGTACTAAGGTCGAGATCATATAACTCTGAATTATGTGACAGTGGTCATCCTGTAACATCCAGAGTTTTATTACGAATTTTGTATTCTTGAATAAGTTATACATTAGTGAATTTAAGAGTGAGAAGTAGTAAATACAAAGTTTGGGAAAGAGCCGAGACATCTGAAGAATACTATATATTTCTATTGTTCTTGTAGTTTTGATGATGAAGGTTATGGAGCTATTAACAGTGATATTAAACTTCTCTCAGCTGGTTTCAGTATTGTCTTTCTCTTTGTCATGGTTTCACTTGGTAACTTCAATATGATAGAACATAGGGTAGGTAGGATTGATTTTACCTTAATTACTGTATTGTAATAAGATGGACATTTCCTTTGTCCCTATTAAAATCTCTTTTGAGTTATAAGAGATTGTGACACCACAAAGCTTCTACAAGAGCAGTTTTACTTTGACTGTGTCATCAAAAAAGGGCATATCCACCCTTCTCCAACACCTGATATTAATGTTGTTTTGACCAGCTTATTCTCAATATTTTAATTTACAGATTATAGTATCTCTACTGGGATTAACCAGTGTTGGGTTAGCTATATTATTTGCCTATGGTGTGGCTACAGCTTTAGACATTATTTATGGTCCCATACAGTCTATCATGCCTTTCTTACTTCTAGGTAAGTTTCATATGGACATATTGTAAGTAATTGGAAAACAGTAGACTAACACTGCTGTCAAGACGTTGTCTATTGTCATTGACCCAAGTAGGTGTATTAAAGTAGCTTTAAGTATAGACATAGTACCAGTACTGGAAATGTTTTAAAGTTTATCTATCTGTGCCTCTATTATTTTCCTCTTTTCTCATTACACACTGTTTGACAATGTCTATCATCATTAACTACACAAGCTCTAAATAAGTGGCTTAACATATGGTCTTAGCTCTTGAAGTTTTGAAATTTATCATTGTTCCTCTGTTACAGGTATTGGTGTTGATGATATGTTTGTTATAGTTGAAGCCATGCGTAATTTATCACCTTCTGAAAAAAGACTTCCATTACCAGAACGTATTGGTACTGTATTAAAACATGCTGGCGTGTCAGTCACTGTTACTTCTGTTACAGATATTGTAGCTTTTGGTATTGGGGCATCTACAGTAAGTCATGAGAATGTTTTTTTTTTGAATGGGCTAACATGAATATTTCACTACCGGTAATTGTTGGTTCAGTTTACCTTAAAGTTCCACAATCAAGTTTTAATCTCCTCAATCCAAAATTCAAACAAAAACTGTTCCTGAAATTGCCATTGAAACTCTATCTATCTCCAGTGGACAGCTAACAGCATACTTTTCATATAACTCGAAATTCATAAAAATCCAACCACAAATATTTCCAAAAATCCTTTAGTTAGTCAAATTAAGATCCCTGGAAAATCTAGGCATCACCACCTGTTGAGTGTTGCAATGGATGGCTTGGATTCAGAGATCAACATTACAAAGATTTTTTCAAATATTTTATATATAGTTCTCGGATAGATAAATTAAAATTGATAAAAAAAAATCCAAAAACTTATTTTACTGTTTTTTTTTTCTGTTTTCAGGTCATTCCAGCTTTAAGTGCTTTCTGTATCTATGCAGCATTAGGAATATTCGCTCTGTTTATTTTACAGTCAACGTTTTTTGTGGCATGTTTAACTATAGATCAGCAGAGGAGAGAGGTCAATCGTAATGCCTGTATCTGTTGTTATACTCATAAACTATATTCACCCAATTCCTGTAGCCAAATACAGTTTCTACCTCTATTTTTTGAGAAATATTTTGCACCATTTTTACTAAAATTACCAGTTAAGGTAGGCTATTGTTTTATCTATATCCTTTCTAGGTAAACTGTGATTTATCGTATTTTAGAGAAATTCTGGCTATAATCTTTTCTAATACAATATGATGAGATAAATGGCTTGAAAGAAGATTATCTGTATCAAATTTTCACCATGGCACACTACATGGTGTAGCCAAGAATCATTAGCCCCAACAAGTGTTTCTGAAGTAAGATATAATCCTTCATTTCAGATGTATTTGTATCTGTATTGTAGATATTAGTAGTCTGTACAGTTATTATAGTCGTCAGTTTTAATCTATGGAGATTTATTTTATTAAAACAAGATTTTAATTTAACGAACTATATTCCATCAGATTCCTACGCCTATCAATATGTTCACGCTAAACAGAAATATTTTAATGATGAAGGGAAGGACACAGCCATTTATTGTGGTAAGTCATACCTCTTATTTAAAAATCTATAAAGTACCATTGGTTAACTTTGAAACAAAGATTTATGTAACAGAATGATGGCACCAGAGTGACCTGCTATCATGTATTCTATAGAGAATTTGAGGAGAAATTTGTAAATCCAAGATGGTCATTTTTGAAGATCTAAGGTGGTTAAAATTGTAGATCCATGATGGTTAAAGTTTTAGATCCAGAATGGTGAACTTTGTAGATATTAGAGATCCTTTACTTGATGTTTTCCAAAAGTAGGCTGCAAAACGCCATTTTATTTACCTGATATTTTGTAGGTGATATAGATTACTATAAATATAGGAGACAGTTGGATGTTGTACATTATTTACTAGAAGATAATCAGTATATACAGAATGGTAGTATAATCAGCTGGTATAAAACATTTCAACAATATAAACAATCTACAGGTCAGTCTATGTTATATTGGATAAAACACGTTTGAGGCTTGATATGATATTTAAAACCTGGATCCCAAGGGATTTTGTGAGAAATTTTCCAAGATTTAAATCTTGCCACAACATAATATGATAATCTTTAGAGTTACCTCCTCTGAAGAATATTGTCATCTTGTCCCCCTTTAGAGGCTTCAAGAAAATCTATGCCGTTTTTGGTCAAGTTGCAGTCATCAACCTACCTCACACTTGGCTATTGTCTGTATCAACCTCTATATTCCAGGTATCACCATAGCAACAGAATCAGACTATAATCACCATGTTTTTCAATTTATTAAATCAGCCGGTAAAAATCTCAGAAGTTTTATCAAGTTTAATTCTACACGGGAACCTGTCAGAATTAAAGTAGGTTTAAGCTCCAATATTAAAACATTACCATCTGTTTGAACTCTTCAAAGATGAAGGGAAGTATACTAAGTCTTAAATACTTTGGTGTTCAGAAAGGGAGAATGTTCTGTTCAAAGAACAGGAATTATTTCACTGGATCTTTCTCACAATAGTCATAGTTTCACATCAATAAATACGTCTGTGGGAGTGTCAATTCTCATTTTTCAGGCGTCCTATTTTACTATGAAACATACCCTACAAATTGACTCCAGTGATCAGATCAAGGCCATGGATTCAATACGAACTATTGTAGATGAAGAAATGTTACCACAGTACCATTCTGATACCTTACCAACCTATAAATGTTTCCCCTACTCTAGAAACTATCTCACTTATGAAACTAATAAAGTAAGTTTGACATCAATATGCATCATTTTATCAAAAATTTTGATCTGTGACTGAAACCCCACTGTTTTCTCTATCCTCTTTTTTCCAGCTCTAGATACATGGTCTGTGACTTTTCATTTTTAGTTAAGATTTAATTTTTGTTAAATTTGTTAAATATTTTATTTGGTTTTTATTGTTAAAGATTAGAATTTTTGGTGCACTATACTGATCAATCTCAGGTGAATTCACTGGATTAAGGTTTCATCATCTGGGAGTCTAAAGAGTTAATGATATAATGCATTTTTTGTTTCTGTTGCAGGTATTGCTATATGAATTGTACCGTAATTTAGGACTAGCTGGTGGCTGTATATTATTAGTAACTATGATACTGATAGCTAATTTCTACACCAGTTTAATGGTCTTCTCTTGTGTTATATTTACACTGGTAAATACCTTACTTTTATCTTCCTTATAGTGGAAATATTGGTATACTGATATACATTCATATGCTGAGTATTAAGAATTGAAACTTTAAACCAGAAACTTTGGGAGTGCTACAAGATAACTGATCACTATTATTATCAATTTTTTTTTTAAATTTAGTATCTTTAGAAGTTCTCTTCTGGAAACAGTTTTGTCCTTTATTCACTATATAATAAGTGTTAGTTTCATTCAAAACATAAGCTTGAAAAGTGCATCCTGTCCAAATGCTTGAAGTTTATGTTATAATGTCTTGTTTCCAGATAGATGTTGGTGGCACATTAGAACTATGGGGTGTTACTATTGATACAGCCAGCTCTGTGTTGATGATTCTATCTGTAGGACTAGCTGTAGATTATTCAGCACATATTGGACATACCTTTATGACGATATCTGGTACCAGATCAGGTAAGTCTATCAAATCTATGTTCTAGTAATGTCAGCTTGTTAACTTCTAGATTGTGATGACATTGGTCTTTTCATTATCTCAGAATTACTCATTTAAAATGGCAAGAAAGGAGTGAAACAATGAAGTTATTTTCTCTGGGTTCTTTTCTCTATATGTCTCTTTGAAAAGTAAAAAGGATGGTTGGTATTTTTAGATGACATTTTTATTGCAGAGAGATCAACCTACACATTAAAGACAATAGGACCAGCAGTTTTCAATGGTGGTTTTAGTACTTTGTTAGCTTTTGTCTTACTGGCTAATAGTTCCAGTTATGGTTTTGCTTTATTCTTTAGGGTAAGTCAACAAGTTTTATTCATTAGAGAATTCAAAAGAATGAAATGGTTTTGATAAATATGTATATACAAAGGAGAACTTGCATTGTGTCTGTGGTAAAGATGAGAAATTGCCTAACTGATGAGTCCAATTTTGTTCCAACATATTGAATGAGATATTTGTCTTATGGACTATTGAATGATCTTCACATCAACAATTTTAATTTGATTTTTTTTGTTCAGTATTTGCCATTTAATATCATTATTATTATAGGCTTCTAATGATTCTTTTAAGAATTGTGAACCTTAATCGGTAGGCTGGCAGGGCTTAGCTAGCAGCACCACCCCCCACCACAGAGCAAAACTATATTTTTCTGACATCTCAAAATATACTCCAACATTAGTTAACTCAGACTCACTGAAAAGATGGCATCAAAGAAGATGTTACTGTATTTTTTAACTCTTCAATATGTGGTTTGTTGTAGGTATTTCTAACTGTGGTGTTGTTTGGTTTATTTCATGGTTTATGTTTTCTACCAGTTTTATTAAGTTGGTTTGGTCCCAGACCTTATGACTCTGCTAAAAGTGTAGGTCAAGGTCATCCAGTTTTAAATGGTGCTAACAAACAGGTAAAGGCATAAAAAAAAAACTTATTTTATAGATTAGAATATTATAAATCAAGTCATTATGGATCATTATTTGCTCTTCGAGTAATCAAACTAACTTAAACTTTTTTAACTTCTGTAATTTTATGGTATTTGTTTGAAAAACGCTAATATAGCAATTTCTCATCCTCTGTTATACTCTTATAGTGCTTGTTACAGAACTGTTAGTTTAATATATATAGACGTTGATAAAATATTCCTTATAACTACTAGCTCTGCTAGCTAAGAGACCTATTTATATAATTATCTAATCGGTAGAATTATTTATTTTTAGCTTCTAATAGATCATCCTCATTTAATATCTCTGAAGAAAATAGAGGTAATAAACTCATTATATTTTGAATAATTTTGATTCATTTTCATTTTACATGATTATTATATTCATGCTAAATCCTAAAATGCCATGTTGCTTGTCACTTGTAATCAGTGCTAAATCTGAGACTGCAAGAAAGCTTTGTAAGGATTATAGTAGCTTATACTTAATCAATCATGTTTTTCTGCCATAACAATGTAAATGTCTTAAAATAGTTACAATTTTGTTTTATTTTATGCTTCATAACACTACTAGATCTCAAATCAGGATTTTGGCAGTTAGACATATAATATAAGTTTATGTTATAAAGCCTATCTAATAAAATATATCTCTTTCTCTCTGATAATTATTATATTTTCAGCTTTCTCCTTAGCCTGCGCTGCTGTCCATCTCTAGTGAGTGCTTCTTTACGTCTTAGATCATGCTTTGTAGGATTCCACCTTTTAGTGTTAATCAATGTTGATTTAGAAATATTTTGTTACATTCAAAATGGATCTCAGTTATATAACTCTAAGATTATCTCTTACAATGATTAGATATATACCATAAAAGGTCGAGAAAGTCATGAAAAAGCCAATTCCAGACGGCTAACTATGATCGGTTTTGGCGAATCTTTTTGGCATTGATCTTTCTTGGATTATGCTTCCTTATATTACTGGATCTATTAAACCAAAGAGCAAAGATGACTTGGTGAAGTTAGCATTCAGCGGGGTTGTATTTTCTTGTTTTAGTGCTTCTTAATGTTCATAAAATTGGAAAGATGAAACGTGTAATGATAATTTATTGATTGTTTCTATTTGAAAACTTTTCCTGGTAATTATTTTTTGGAGAATATTTAGGTCTATTTGTTTTATTTCAGGATTTTGGAAAAAAAAAGAGGGAGAATTCAATGCAGCAGGAAACTGTGAATATTTCAACTATTGATCCAGGTTTACAATCTTCTGAATTGACTATTGTGCATATCTGAACTAACAGAATAATAGAGTCACGTCAGTTATAATAAAAATTTAATAACCAAGAAACAACAATTGAAACTGTTTGTCTGCAGTAAAGTAGGTTATAATCAATGAAACAACTGAAACATAATTTTACAAATAAAGAAACTAAAGAAATGAAAGCGTTTGAACTGTAAACCGGTGATTTATTTTATTTTTTGATATACTTGAACAAGTAAACTATTCTTTCAATATTAAGTAAATTGAAAATCGTCCCAAAAAGGTTAAAATAGTTTGACAGAGATGTATGCACGTCATCGACTAGCAATAGTAAAGGGACAGATTCGCCATCCGTTTGACCAATCGTGCCTTAGTCTCAGAAACCGGAATCTTTTTGCTAATCAATAATAATGGTCACAGTCCACTGTCGAAATTTGTTTCTTCAAATCCATGTTATTATCCACGTTTGAAAGTTAAAAAGACGACTCATTTCTTGAGACTCAGACATATATATAGAAAAGACATATACATGTATAGAAATAGAAAGTAAAATTCCTAGTTTGAGGTACTTTAGAAAGAATTGTGCTATTTTCGTACATTTTTGAAAACTATTTACGTATATTCAAGATTCAAATCAGCCCCCGAAAATGGCGAATCTGTCCCTTTAAAAAAATGTGCACGGATTTAATCGAATGTCTTTGTGTATGATTTAATATGTTCTATCACATACTTAATTTATAACATTTTGTATATAAACGATGTGCCAAATATATAGTCATTTATACTTCTATTTATTATAAATTACTTATATAGTTTAACAAATTGCGATATTTGTAATGTGATAAAATGAAATGGGAAACTAATTGTTCCTGATTTCTTTTGATATATCTCGATGACGTATAATGTATATGCAAGAGTGGTTTTCTTAGGGAGGACGAGCGGTATTTTACACAATGATTTCAGTAAATTATTGATTTGTTTTTATATTTATTTTATAGTTCAAGTATTTGCCAATCAATGATTTTATTTATTGGACTTTTTGGTTACAAAAAATATATTTGAAATCAATATTTCTTGTTATTTTAACAACTTCGATTGATTTATTATACGATGTGGCCAGGGAACTTTTAACATTAAAAAGAACTTGAAGTTTAATCGCATTGAAAAAATGTATAGCCAAACATCATTAGCCAACGATAACCTTCTGTACAGATACTAATGGAAAGACTAAAATTCCTATTCAATAAGTGGCTGTTTTTTTAGGGATTTGGCTGTCTGAACTACTACGATTTCTACTTGCAAGTGGTTCCAACACCTGCTTCTGTTAGACGCCTAACATCGTGTCCAAATGACACTCCAGAACCCATATTTGGGATAAAATGGACGTCTAATAGCAACTGTGTGATTAAAAAACACTTTGTTGCTACGCTTTTAAAATGTTTGTTTGCTTCTACACGTGGTTCTTTCTCTGTGGCTTTTTCCTGCGCGTGATTTTTTTACTATCATTAAAACTATTCACTTTGTCTTATGATTTTATTTAATGACGTAGAAATACTCATGAAGTAATAATCGTTAAGTATTAATCTCGGTATATGTTCTGGTATGGTAACAGTTTGAACAGTTTGATACCATAATAGATAAATCAGGAAAATCAATATCACGAAAAATTGATAATTGAACTAGTTATCCACACACCGAAGCCATGGCCTTAAGCCTCGGTTGGTTAACTGAAAGATCTCTCCTCAGTTGGTTATTAATTTCAACTTTCCTGGCAATGATCCGTCTTTGCACGCTGCGTTGACCTTAAAAGAACAAACGCCAGTGGCTGAAAAGCTGGACGTCGGACGTTAGAAACCGTATCATTACATTTTAGTAGCCTTATCCGGTGCAAAGTAGGGATTAAAAATCAATTCCATTCTATTTTATTCCGTGGCTTTTAACTTTTTATGAAGCAATAGTAACTGGAAATAATGATATTTCTTCTATGGTTAGTAAATCACAGACAATGGTTTGCTGATCAGCTTAAATTTCAGAAAATAATGTTACAATTAAGCTGGATTTCTATTGTGTTGAAGCGTTGGAACAACAGCCGTAGGTGCTTTATCGTCGGCTTATAGTTTTAACTTGTTAGACAACTTAGTGCCTGCTTTTGTTCTTGTGGATAAACTAATAAAATCTGACTTGACCGAGAAACATTTACAAACATTGAAAGCTCTCAGTAATGATAAGTGTTATCATGAATTCATAGGAGAGTATTCTATTAAGACTCGTCGAGGTTATTGTAACTCCCTTGCAACTGCCTTTGGACCACTTAAAGGACAGATTTGCAATTTTCGGAGGTTGATTTGAGTCTTGAATATATGTAAATAGTGTTCTGAAATGCTAGAAATATACGAAAATCGCATAATTCCTTCAAAAACACCTCTAGGAATTTCACTTTTTATTTCTATATATGTCTTTTCTGTGTATGGTAGAGTATGATGACGATGAGTCGTCATTTTAATATTCAAACGCGGATAATTCTGGACACGCATGGATGTGAAGGCTCAAATTTCGATGTTCAGCTGCTGTGAACACCAGTACTGATTAGCTTAGCTAAAATTGTTCAAACGGGTGGAGAACCTGTCCCTTTAAAGCCTTTCATTAAGTGAGTAATAAGTAAATATTCAGTACATAATGCCACAGCTCTAAGTACTAGTGTTTCAAGTTTCAACTAATTGATGTATTCTCATAGGCCGACTTACTAGAGTTAAAAGGCATTGGAAAGCAGCTAATAGATATATAATTTCTCCGATAAGTAAGCAGGTAGTAGTGCGAAGCGGAAAATTCGATTTAAAATAGGTTTACTACTCATGGAGTTATCATGTATTCTGGGAGGTGGTGATGTCATGCCTCGCTCGTACATTTCTAGAGTACCCTTTTTAAAATAAATTACTTTTCATAAAATAAATTTAATGATAATTATCGATTGATGTGCGTATATATGCAGTGGCTCAAATCTGTCTAATGCTTGGTACTGGAAAATTAAACAAATTTCGGTCTCTAGTTGATGCTATTTCACTCATTAATAATGTATATTTAATAATACATTTTTTTAGATTTTTCTTCTTGGGGTGAGCGCCCCCTTATCGGTGGGGCCCCTGGACTTGGTTGGGTTGAACCAATCCTTATGGTAGTTGAGCTACGGTCTCAAGGTGATCAGATCTGATGTGTTGAACAGAAGCTGTCCGTAATTGCTTTGATGAACTCTTTCCAAGAAGTGTGCTTCGAAATTTTATAAATAAGTGGAGAAACATGAAGCATTTCATTGAACCCTTTATTGAGTAATTTTTTTCAATCAATATCTAACAGACCAACTTTCACAGTTTAGATTAGGAAAAATTGTTTTATAATTGACGTAAAAAAATTAAAAATACAAATCAATATATTAATGATATAAATATGGAATATGAAGGGAAATGGGAGATTTCACCGAACAATGTGTATTTACTGACTAGTAAAACATATATTCAGACAGAATGCCAGCACAATAAACACATTTCTTCACAAAGAAAGTCACCGAAGAAACAATTGCGGCAAGACATTGGCATCGATTTTCCAATCGTGATAAACAAGGATGTGTGGTTGAAAGCAGCCCGATAGTAAGGACATAGCAACACCTGATAACCAGGCAGTGTGATATAGGTATTTAATACCTAATATACTATAACTTACTGTGGTTTATGATTTGACAAGGTGAATGGTGTTACTATTATCTTCTTATGGAAATGCCAAATATCTGTGGTTGATTCTAGAGAAACACCATGCATCTGTTCACCACGGATGGTGTAGGTGTACCTTTAACAGCTTAGAGAAACTCTCTAAGAAAAAAGAAGATTACAATTCGCCACAAGTCAGAGACATCTGTATTTTAAACAGTTATAAAAGCATCACACTCTACCAATCTATGGATTTGAAGGTGAAGCATTGCATTCTACGATTACCAACATCACACATCAATTCACTGCGGATGGTGAAACTCTATCAAACAAGATTACAATTCAGCAGACACTTGGATTTTACAAAGTTATAGAAACACACAACTTAACTTAGTGGACTTTATTCTTTTTTTATCAATCACCATCCTCTAGGGAAACATCTTAAACCACCCCACTTCAATCTACTTATATTTCAATTGGAGATCCATCGTGCTAATACCAGCTTATAGAAATCAAACTTTTCTCTGGACTATATGTATTCAAGAAGGTGAATTACTGTTTTATACAACTCCGGATATCAATTTCAGGATTGTGAAAATAGTCATCTATGTTTGTAAATGATGTATTCTGAATAATATAACGGATATAGACCTATGTCGTTTTCTTTTTCGTTTTTTTTATACAAATCTGTGCCAGAGTTAGAAACCGTGTCGTTGTTCTTTCGGATAAGTTTACATTTTATTTTTATGATCAGAAAGCCATATCGGAATCAGAAATCAAAACAAGTAAATTGGTTATGCATCATTGATTTCTTCACGTACAACATAACAATAATATATATAATATTTATGTGTTTAAATCTTTACATTGATTTGAATGTTTTGCGTCAACGGCTATTCCTTGTACAAGAGAGTGAAATTAGCTGTAAAATTCGGGTTGTTCATGGTAGTGTATATGGAAAACAGAAACCGAACTGAATTCGAATTTGAAATCCTACTATGCCAAGAAATATTTGGTTCTGAGTCAAGAATTTAATAAAAGGTATTGAGTGTAAGTAATTGTGTGAGCGGAAGACAAAAACAGGAAACGTATACAATGCTACATACGCTCTGCTTATTTTCTTTAGGATTACTGATACATACTGTACAACTTCAAAACAACACATGTGTAGATTTGATATACATGAAAATACAATATACAACCAAATTTATAGATACTCATATCAGTGAGATTTTAAATGTAAGTTCAGCTTATAATTGTCTGGAACTTTGTCGAGATCATGGTACCTGTAAATCAGTTGGAATCAAAACGAATTCAATGGCATGTTATTTGTATGATGGTCGGGTATATGATGGACTAACTGGTACAATTAGTTCGGATATCATCTACTATTGGCAACTAGAACGTAAGTTCCACAAGTTCATACATTTACGTATTCAACTTAAAATCCATAAATTTCCCGTCTTACTTGGCATATTTTTGAAACATTTACTTTAATTCAGATCATTTATCCTACAATATGATTTATTCTGTGGGGATTCAGATCACATCCCATATTCAAATATTTTCTAAGACTTACCAAGTTCCCTGAGTTAAAAGTAAATTTTCTTTATCATGTACATGTACAAAAGGTCTGCGACGTAGTAATGCACTGGGCCAAGTATTATCGAAACGATCTTAGCGCTAGGGGGTCTTAGAAGATTAGAATCTAGGACCTAGCGCTAAGATCGTTTCGAGAATACGTGGCCCGATTTCCAAAAGTACTAACCAGCAGCTCAGCAGCTCAGATACTTTGTTTTGAAGGTGATCAAGGATGGATCATTCCCGTCTAACCCCGTACATGTGAGTTTTAATACATGTTATTCTATATAAGCTGAATGTCCTACACATCTTGGATACGATGAACATCCAACCAGTAAAATATGTACCAAGTATAATTCTACTGAAGTGACGTGGTTAGAAGCACAGAAAAAGTGTGAAGATGAAGGAGGGTTCTTGTTTATGGTGGACAACCCAGACAGTCAGCATCTAATGACATCTTACGTCAGTAGTGGAGGTAATTCAGTTGTTACAATCGATAATCCAGGGGCATTTCAACAAAATGAAAGGAGGCCGGGCATGGGGTATGGAAATGAGGCTGTTCCTACTTTGCCACCCTATCCCACTTTGATAATTGCCTGAGATTCCCCTTTTATAAGTCATTCAATTTTTTCCAACCACAACATTTTATTAAATGCTTCAATTTTTTTTTAAGTTTTAGGTATACTAACGTTTCTTGGTGCTACAGATATAAATCAAGAAGGTGTATGGGAATGGTTCAATGGTGTACCTATAAACCAATCAGCGTTTTTACCGGGCGACCCGAATAACGCTCTGAACTTAGAACATTGTATTAATTACATGGTATCATCTTCATTTGGTCTGGTCGATTTTACGTGCCACGGAAAGGCTGGTTTCATTTGCCAAGTCCCTACGAAACAAACCTTTTCAACCTAAATCGGGTGATATCCGGTTCATGTGTTAGGATAAAAGTGGCACCCAGTGGCAAGCCAATCGATAGATTGTGGTGAAAAACCCAGTGGCTCAACTACTATAGGGACTGGTTAAACCAGTCCATGGGCCCCAACCCTAAGGAGGCCCACCCTAGAAAAATACAAGAGAACAAATTATTAAAAAAGAAAAATTCCGGATCAGGAGCCCGAACTACGTCAGTCCATGGGCCCCAACACATCCAGTTGAGATACTGAAAAAAAAAACAATAACACGTGAAATATTAAATTCTAATGACTCTCAATACCAATCAAATATTCTATTTCTTCAACGCTTAGACAGTGGTGGCACCCGCCTTCCGAAAGTGGGGTACGAATAATGGGCGGACTGGTGAAATGGGGTCGAGGTCGAGAGACCAGATGCAGCAGCGAGAGAGTTTCCAAAATATTTTTGATTTAGTACATTTCTGTACATATTTTGGGACAGAAACATATTTGTTAGAATATGAATTTGTGATACAAAACATTTTTCTAGCCCCCTCCCCTCCTTTTGTACCCCACTGGCGCCTATTATAATGCCATACTATTTTCTGTATTATTTGGATTGAAGAAATGAAATATTATGTTTATTGGAGCCAATGTAATTAGACTGAATTCTATAATGATTATTTAGCTGCACTGATATTTATACAGTAAGTGATAAATCTATTTTTGCGTTAATGATGAGATTTTGATCATAATTTTTACATCACTTCTTCTATACATGTATTTGGCTCATTAAATGAAAGTATCTCTGCTTCCTATAGTTTTCTGTATGTCATGTATGTTATTAAAATTATAAACTCGTTCTTCTTAATCATTTAGGGGTAGAGATCACATCAAATAACAGAACACAATTGTATGGTATACTACTCCTTCACTATGTACCTTTAGCACCGGTCGTATTTATTGTTTAGAATATACAATATGCTACCGATGCTGAAGGAACATGCTCCTTCACCTGATAATACCAATGTAAATTGTTGAAACCTTGTGAACAATAAACTCAGAAGTAGTATACCATTAAAATGTGTTCCCTTTTTAATAGTTCCTCGTAATACAATGAAGGTTACCTGGATAATCCAGAAGATAGACTTAAATAATGAGTCTCTTCTGATATTTGCTCTAAAGGTGAGAGATATAATAACTTTAAATCAAGATATTGTTTTATTGTATGATGCAGAATTGCACAATTTCTTGGTACATTGAGATATTGATTAAAACTTACAGATCAAATAAACACTATCAATATTTTAAACTTAAGTAACATGAAATAATAACATTGAGGACTTCCTTCATACGTTTAAAATACAAAAACTGTAGTTCGGTGAACTTTAAAGTGATCATCGATTTTACAATATTTCAGTTAAAGGAATACTTACCTCTTAGAATAGACATAAAGTATATTATCAAATTTGGTCAACAAATGTATATATTCTTCAGATTGACTTACCAGGTGCCATGACTAAAGAACAAAATCTCTATTTAAAACGATATATCTAAGGATGTTTTAAAACTATTTAGTTTAATGAATTATTGCTTAGTTTAATGAATTATTGATTTATTGGGTTCAGTCGTATAGCTATGACTCATTTTACCCTGAAAAATAGATTCTAATGGGGCTTTTTCCAGATCAATCTGTTATCATTGGCTTATAAACAATAAATTCTATGAGAAATGTTTTGCGAGTGAATTGTTTATGGTAATTGGCGACACGCATGCTAATCCCATTAGTCCAGAAGAATTCTATAAAAAAAAAACTTTATTTATGAAAATGTATTTATAAATTTGTGCCACTTCATGTCTGCTGAATATGGTTTATAAAAATAGAACGTATAAATGTCGATGTTTCGAAACTTTCCCTCATACTTCGAGAAAATATTTATATAAAAAGTCAAAAGAAAAATACTCTTTCAATTTTTTTAAACAATACTACTGGTAGGTATATTAAGATGAATTGTTCATTGACTCTAATTCAATAGATGAGGGAGAACTTTCAGGGTAGCGTTGTGAATTATTGGCAGAAACCGGTGCCATGCGTTTTCTTTCACGGAAAAACAAAACAAGAACTAAAACCAGTATAACCACTAGTTCCACCATTGCAACAGCAAACCATACATCTGAAAGATATTAAAAAAGTTTCAGTTGGTTCAAGGGAGATCACTTCTGCGTAATATTACAACATATACACAAGCATCATGCAAAACATTCTAAAAAATATATTTTTATAGTTTTTATAGAAAGAAAATTGTTTATTTTATTCCATCATCATAATAATCACCGACACTATATAATATAGAATATAATATAGAACTGTGACCTTGCCAGATTGAGATTATATGGATATTGGTGGAACTTAGGTGTGTTGACAACTTGGGTGTATTTTTCTTGACCACAGCATTGTTCGTGTGATTCACAGGGAACTGGGTTACTACCTGGGCAAGGAGTTGAGACATTAGAGCCTGTAGTCGTAGAGAGTATTGAATCACCTCTAGTGGTTGTGTTCTTAGGACTCGGTGTTGTTTGAGACTGAGAGGTTGAATGTGGTTCAGAGGTAGGCCTACTGGAAGATTCCGCATTATCCAATGGAGTACCTTAAAAGAATTTTCTTTTGTTAAGTGTTTTTGATAATCCTCTTTAAAAGAAGTGATTTTTTTTTCAATTAAGGATTTACAATTCCAAACACAAAAATCGATAATTATTTAACAAGAGTTATTACTCAAGTAAAATACAGAAACCTCAAAACGTCTTGTCAGAAAGAAAGAAACAAAAACACACCTTCTGTTTGTGTTCCATGAGAACCAACTGTATCGTTTATGCAAATACCATTATTACCACCATAATCATGCCAATGTTTGCCTGGAGGACACTTACAAACTGTGTCACTAGTTTTGGTGCAATTTTTGACTATTTCTTTTCCTAGTGCACAGAATGTGCAATCATTACAACAAGTCTTATTGTTAGGTTTATCTCTGAATTGTTTTTCAGGACATGTTTCACAAATTGAAGCTTCTCTGTCTCGCTCACACTGGGTCACCAAAAACTCCCCGACTGGACACCATTGGCACCAATGACCTGGTTTTACCTGGTACATGTCCTAAAAACATAAAAAATATATAATTGTCGAAGCATAAGAATGTGCTACAAGTGAGGGATATTTTACAAAATGTGTCATTTTAAATGCCAATTTCAATTACCCTTTCTAGATTTATTACACTAGGGTGAAAATTTGTTTACTACACTTATAGCTTCATTAAGAACTCATTTTAATTCCTGTATGCTCAAACGTATAGAACTTCAGATCTCTACATTAAAAGAGACCATCTGGAGCATACATAATATTAACCCAATATGGTGAAGGTGATATTGTTTTGATTTCCATCTCTCCCAAACCTGCCATGACTGTAGCACAAGAAGCTTCTATTGCATCATGCTTTCTCGTGTATTCTTTTTTGACCTGCGCCAATGCCATGAGGGTTGGTCACTGAGTTCAGCCAATTTCTCCTAAAGTTGTTTAATTAATTCTTTGTAAAATACATGTAATCATACATTTACCTCACTGATCTGTGAATTATCCCTCATAGCTTTGTCTGCTGAGTCATCGACCACGCCTATCAAAGCCATGAAAACAATCAAGACAAACATCTTCATGTTAAAATAAATACCTGTAATATATAATAACTTTCGTTTGTATTGAGAATTATGAATTCCGTGACATTCGTTTTCTCCATTGAACACGGGAAATCACTTTAAAAGTTCCAAATGAATAAACCAAGTACTGACATCCGAACCACAACACGAAATCCGAAATCCAAAACAACATACTTGTGAAACATAGGTAGCAGCCAATGAAGATTTCACATGAAGAAGTATATTAGTCATAATTGAGGAAGTATTTCATAATGAAAAGTGTAAGATACTATATTCAAATTATGAAACTGTATGATAACAGTGCTAAAATCCGACTGAACGGGGAAACATATATACGATACATTCGATTCAAAATACTTACTGTAAATAGTAACATCTGTTATGATATGATTCACAAAAATATTTTACCTAGGCCTCAAAAAACCCTACTGATAAGAAATCCCTATTACTTCCACACTGTCATATAAAACTGAAATAGGGGCCCGGTTTGATCCGATAGGCTACTATTTATAAATATATATACAGTTTTTGGCGCCATTTTCAAGGGTTGATTTAGATCATGAATATATGTAAATAGTCTTCAGAAGTACTAGAAAAGTTCAAAATCACACAATTATTTCAAATATACAAATACTATAATATACACGTATAGTTTACCAATTTTGACATATATTAATGTTTTTCATTTGAACATTAAAAATAAGTGGTGGCTCCAAAAGCTATATGATCACAAGCAAGAGCAAGTCATGCCCTGGTAAAGGAAAGAATCCAGCAATACAATATTTCAGTTAAAGGAATACTTACCTCTTAGAATAGACATAAAGTCTAACTTATCAAATTTGGTCATCAAATGTATATATTCTTCAGATTGACTTACCAGGTGCCATGACTAAAGAACAAAATCTCTATTTAAAACGATATATCTAAGGATGTTTTAAAACTATTTAGTTTAATGAATTATTGCTTAGTTTAATGAATTATTGCTTAGTTTAATGAATTATTGATTTATTGGGTTCAGTCGTATAGCTATGACTCATTTTACCCTGAAAAATAGATTCTAATGGGGCTTTTTCCAGATCAATCTGTTATCATTGGCTTATAAACAATAAATTCTATGAGAAATGTTTTGCGAGTAAATTGTTTATGGTAATTGGTGTAATCCCAGAAGTCCAGAATAATTCTATTAAAAAAAAACTTTATTTATGAAAATGTTTGAAGAGTTTACATCATGTACAATATAAGTTCGTTCCTTGGGTAGGCCGTCTGCAAGGGAACATTTCGCTGGAGACATTTCGATGTTAAAGTAAAATACATATAAAAAAGTATAATATGTAAGTAACAATAAATAATAAATATTTATAAATTAATGCCACTTCATGCCTGCTGAATATGGTTTATAAAAATAGAACGTAAAACTGTCGATTTTCTCTGAGAAAATATTTATATAAAAAGTCAAAAGGAAAATACTCTGTCAATTTTTTTAAACAATACTACTGGTAGGTATATTAAGATGAATTGTTCATTGACTCTAATTCAGTAGATGAGGGAGAACTTTCAGGATAGCGTTGTGAATTATTGGCAGAAACCGGTGCCATGCGTTTTCTTTCACGGAAAAACAAAACAAGAACTAAAACCAGTATAACCACTAGTTCCACCATTGCAACAGCAAACCATGCATCTGAAATATATTAAAAAGGTTTCAGTTGGTTCAAGGGAGATCACTTCTGCGTAATATTACATATACACAAGCATCATGCAAAACATTCTAAAAAATATATTTTTATAGTTTCATGTATTTAATCATAAAAAACTGCAGTATTGTTTATCTCTAAATATCTCAGAAAGAAAATTGTTTATTTTATTCCATCATCATAATAATCACCGACACAATATAATATAGAATATAATATAGAAGTGTGACCTTGCCAGATTGAGATTTAATGGATATTGGTGGAACGTAGGTGTGTTGACAACTTGGGGTGTATTTTTCTTAGGAAAATATGAAATAAACTTACCACAGCATTGTTCGTGTGATTCACGGGGAACAAATGTGAATATTGATCAGAAGAGAAACCCGAGAGACGCCACTTTTGCCAGTGTTATTTCTGTTTGTGCTAATGATAACGACAGCTTAATTTTAAATCCAGGATTAAATCCCGGTAAAGGTCGAGATAATTTAACCCGGTTTCCCCCTGTCAGTGATGCAGGTAAGAGGGGCTGACATGGAAAAAGCGTCTTTTCGTTCGGATGGGACTATTAACCAAGATCAGGTGTGCTCATTTCATTTCAATTTTAGCAATGGATGAAGTTTGTCAACATTATAATTTCTGTTTATGGTATTGATAGCTCTATATAATCCACATTGGAGGTATGATCAAAAACAATATACATTAGAGTCATCATGTTTCAACGAAACTTCCTTATCAATAAATATACGGGAATCTGTTCTAGTTTTAAGTGTTTATGATATGCTAACAACACCCCCCCTCCAGCTATGGTCAGTCCCAAAAGTTACAACACCAATAGTTTGAAGCTTGCTGGCACTCCTAACCCGGTACCCTTCCATCCCTGTTTGAGTTACTTCCCTCCACTCCCTACAACTTTTGAAGCCCCAATAGTATAATAAAATAGCATGAGACTTGCTGACACTTACTCCTTCTCCTCCTCCATATTCCTGATGCCCCTTCTTGAGTTATTCCCCTCATCCCCCTGCAGCTATGGCCAGTTCCAATATAGTAAAAACACCAATAGTTTAATAAAATAGTTTGATATTGAGACAAGGTGTATAATAATTGTTATTAGAATCCAGACTCAATCTATACCATTGCACATTATAATAAATTTATACTATTAATAACTCTATTGGAAAGAGAAAACACATAGATTAGCTATGTCAAGGAAGTTATAACAAGGTATGCATCATGGAACTTTTAAACATAAACAATCTATTTTTCTTTTTTGTAATAAAAAAAATGTTTGGACTTATACAAGGCTGTATCCAAAGTGCATATAAATAAATTGTATTTTTTTGTCCAACAGTACAGCATATTTACCTAAAACTGCACTGGCTAAGTGTTGTGCTCCCAAGAAATTGCAGGAAAAGAAATTTATAAAATGGTTTGGATTTTGAAAGGCACACATTTACATGTATCGAGCTATTAAAAATGTTTATCTTACAGTATGGCTTGTTTCATGTAGTACTGACAAAATCAATATAAATGCCTTCAACATTATCAAATCATATATTCTAATCATTTTCAACAAATAATAAGGTAACTCTGTATATTATGAAATATATACATAATTTTAAGTATAAGTATAAAAAGATTATAGAGCTATACATAATGAATATTAATAAGGAAATAATTGTGGTTCAAATTAACTTGAATTACAAAGCTATGTGCTGTCAGAAATGATAACCTAAATAGTAAACTTGTTACTTGTAAACATCCATAAATCATTTTCTAAAAAAACTATTTCTCAAAAACCTCTGTTGGTTAAGATTTATTTAATGATAAACATTTTTGTTTTTTGTTAACATTCAAATAATTCTATGTCTGTTATAATTCATCAATGGTATTTATACATATCTAAACCTACCATAATCTTCAATACAATCTTAATCAGATATACAAATAGTAAGTGTCTACCTTAAACTATGTCCTGCCAGAAAAAGTTTATCCTTATGTATATTATTGAAAGTATTTTTTGCAAACCAAGATGTCAAATTGTTTATGCCATTGGCACAATTTACTTTCTTGACAGTCTGCTTGCTGTGTATAAGCTGTTTACGCTTGTGGCATTACAAGTATTACAGTTCTAATATGAAATATTTGACTTTTCCTGAATGACCTGTACATGTATAAATATCACTGGTGAATTATATCTTAAGAATCAGAACCTGAAACATGTTGCTACTCAGAGTTTCACAAGATCACAAAGCATGAAACTTCAAGTAACAACATGTTTCAGGTTCTATATTAATATGTCTATATGGCTCTACAATTGATGAATTGAGCACTATTTTATCAGTGAAAATTTTTTGTTATTGTATATCTAATCTTTAATTGTCTAAATACTGTTTCTATCACAGTTTAACTACAATACTATTGTTACAATGGCTCTATTTTACAAGTCAGATCTGTACCTTCCGGGGGTCAGGGCAGGGTTTTAACAAATATACATAAACATTATATACATAGGGGCAAAATAGTCTTATATATTAACAATATACTAATAAATTTCAATATGCTTTTCATATTACAAAATAAATTCTTAAAATAACAATCACTATATTAACAATAGACTGCACTTAGCAAAAAAACTAAATAATTCTTTTAATCATAACACATCCCGATAGTTGGGTGTCATTCTCTTTTTTCATAAGATCAGAAAAAAATGTCCAAGCTCTAGATCTTTTGTATCAAACAATAGAAATTGGAATGTGGAGTTTTTGTTGGAATATCATACAACCAATGCAGCTGGTTAACAAAAGATTGATATGTGATGAAAAGTACAAGTAACCAATGCTCATCTAAAAGTGCTTTGACATAAATTTATAGGCCTTGATACATATTCTTGAAACAATCTTAGTGTTAGAAATTAAGACTCTTCTAGGACATCCTAGCTCCAAGATTGTTTCAAAAAAACGTGGCCTGACTTTACTAACATACAAATTTGTTCCTAGACACTTTCCTCTGTCAAAAATTATTCTTGATTAGGTTCTCATATCGGCTGAGACTCTTACTCAATCTTGGAATGTTTCAAACATGGTGTCTATTTAAGTGATAACTATATTGCTTTCTCTATATAAATACCTAATATGATAAATGCATGTATAATGGACAATACCTTGATAATTGCCTCCATTAGCCTGGGCCTCGTCTCTAGAAACTTTATAAAGCTTCAATCTGCTTGATGTTTTAGGACAACTCATATCTAGATGATTTCATGATATCAAGATCTGCCTGAGCTATTGTTTACTGTGTGCATCAACTCATGCCCTGTTCTTTTTCATTGCATTTGTTTACCTCTATACCGCAGACAACAGGCCAATAGAAGCATTTAAAGGTACAATGCCATGTAATTTATAATAATGATATGAAGCACCAATATATATCCAGTTCAATTCACAACTAGGATCCTAACTCTGGCAAATCTGTGCCCATTGATCTGCCAAGCTTCTTGTCTGTCCGTCTGGTCCTGCTGTCTTCTGGTTCAGAGTTGTCTCCCTTGGACTCTCCGGCTCATCTTCTTCGTTCAAATCTGGATTATTTTTTTTTCTGAAATGATAAAATTTATAGTTTTTTTCATAGAATTATAAAAAACTACATTATTTAAGATTTGGAACCTGTCCTAAATTGCTCCAAGAAATCTGATTGGTATACATATCGCTTTTAGTATGATAAACCAATGAGGGTTACCATAATTTTGGCAACAGGTCTAATATAATGACCACTGTGTTTTCTTACATCTGAAATATAACTATTTTAATGCTAGAAACAAAGCTTCATTCAGAATATAGTGTAGTTATAATCAAAGGATAACAGTATTTGAACCAACAAGTAAATTTTGTAATGTATAGGGAAAGATTAAACATTTTGAAGTAATCAGAAAAAAACAGTTCAGATTAATCTTTGAAATAAACATGACACAATTAATGTCTAAAGATAACTGAATACTGATACAATTTGAGAAAAGAGATCAATCTTTAGCGGAGGCCGAAAACCATTGTAAGCATTTTCTAAAACTAAATACTTTCAGGATTTTATAAGGATTTTTTGTTTACGGATTGATGGGTATTGATACATATTTGATAAGAAAGTGTTCTGCATGCAATATATTGGTGCTAAAGGAAGCCGAGAAATAAATTCAAGGGGATGGGGGATATCTAAGTTATTAACATAATAACATTATGAAGAAGAGACATGCATTAGTGACGGACTTTATGGCAATGTGAATGGTAATTTTACTGGATCAAGGTACTGCAAATGCAATGGCACCTAATAAATGGATTATAATTGCAATAATATATCACTATTCAGTAATATTTTACACCATGTTTCAACAAGTTAGGAGTACATTGTGATTAACGTTTCAAGAATTCACATTATCAACTCTTTGCACCATTTAAAAAAATACACCATATTCAATTAATGTTATCACAATGCATAATTGCTTGAATATAAAATCGTAGAAAATATACAATAAAATAAAAATATAAATGATTTGTTGTGTGTATAAAAGGTCAAAACCTAAAACTAAGAATAATCATCTCAATGTTAGTCCATGCCTATCTGATTATAAAAGAGTTATAATTTTGTAAAATTAATTATATTATACATTTGGTTTTATATGGACCTATATTAATAAATATATTGATTAAAATATTCTGTTAAAGATAGTGTATCACTTCCAAATACACCCTTTCAGCATGCAGTGGATTAAACAAGAACTTTTTATAAAAGGTTATGAAAATCAATCGAAAAGTAAAGTGCTTATAGCATTTTCTATATTCAGGGATAGGGGGATTCATTCTTCTAAACGGCCCTAAACTGCCAGAGTTCTCTTCTAACACACCAATTTAAAAAAAAACAGTTAAAAGTTCAGTTGTTTTAGTGTTTCTGGAGACTAAAGGGACATAACTCTGTTTAGATTACTATTTGGTTATTTCATCCTCACAGTTTTGTCAATTTGTGAGAAGATTGATAATAAATATGTAAGTTATAATAAATAATAATTCCATGTCCAATAAACAATGAAAATAAATAGGTCATAAAAATAAATACAGTAATATAAATAAAGAGTTGAGATACTGAGAGACAATAGATTCAACCTTTCTATCAAAATAGATTTTAGAAAAAATAAATTGGATATAAATTTTGCAAGCATAGGTGCTTTTAAATTCAATAAGATTTATTTAAGATCAGGATATCAATTTACATCCACAAAATATTTCTGATAACACAAGTTGTTCATTTTTTTAAAAAGTAGTCTTCAAATTAGAATGGTAAGAATCCAGTAAGTTTTAATAACAGTGCATCTATTACTGTTTTATTGAACTATGACTTTGTTTTTTGATGATTATATTTTGTGGGTGTCAGTGAGTCAATCTCTGTATTCCTCTAAGCTACACCAATCCAATTCTTGGCAGAAGCTAATTTTTCTTTCACTTAAAGAAAAGCTTAGTTTATTTTTGTGTTTTTTTGTATTTTGATAGAAAGGTAGAATGAGAAGAGGTGAGCAGTGATCTAAGATTAGGATTATTGAGAAACAATTTGACAACCTTACTTACCTTAACGACTATTCCTCGAATTTCTAACAATTTAAATTTACAATTAATTTGTGCAGATATTAGTTAAAAAAGCTAAAGGTTTGTGACAGTTTTCTGCTACTTTGGATTTTGGTTTTTGACAAAATTATTCGGGTAAAGGAAATGATGAAACCAAGTTCTAACATTAAATGGATGACAATAAAAAAATCCAGAATGAATTCAAAAAATCTACTCAACAAAATCGAAGAAAAAGCAGAAATTTGCAAAAAATTGAAAAAAAAAAGATCTACATTGTTAAAAGCAAATCTAGGCACACTAGAATAGCTCCAGAAGCTGGTTAATAAAAACAGAAAGCTTTCTCACCTCAACTCTTGTTCACGTTCCCTCATTTCACGTAACTCTCGCTCAATTTTAGACTCAGCTGTTTGCCGAGATTCTTTATAAGAAAATTGAGCTCCACTACCACCTTTAACTGCTTTAACAGGTGATGACGTCTGCCGTGTTGGAGTGGTCGTTTCTTCAACCACTATATTAATGTTTTCTGGAGATTGTAGCGAATTCATATTGGAACTTTTCTTTGTGTTAAAATTACGTTTTACTGGTCCATCAACTTGATCCATACCAGTAACTTCTTTATATTTTAATGGTTCGATATGTTCTTCAGAAGTGGTGATAATTCGTCCTTCTTTTCGATATAATAACTCTCGTTCTTTCTGACTACTCAATTCTTGTTGTAACCTACTAGATGCATAACTTCTAACCGCTTGTCCATCGTTGTCCCGGTGATATCTTGGTGATGAATAGGAACTAGTCGGAGTTCCTGTGATATCATTCTGTGATTTCTGTTTAGGGGTTGTCTGCTCTTGTTTTGGTTCAGCTATTTCTGGTAATCCCTTACTACGACGAAGTTCGTTTTCCCTTTCTCGAGCTAATCTTATTTCTCTTTGAATTGGTGTTTCAGAACTTGGCGTGTGTTTGGGTGTTTCCTCATCATCCGAGTCATCTTGTACATTAGGCATGACCTTGATATCACGAGACGGAGTGCAGTCAGATGGTGTTCGACCAGTACTCTGACTAGAGGCAAGAGAATCCACAGAAGCACTACGTTTGTGATCAATCGGTTGAATATAGGGAGAGACATCTTTTTGCCAGGTTCCTTGTTTGGGATGAAGGGAAGATGAAGAGGATGAATGTGGAATGGAATTTGAAGATGCTGATTTGGGCGGTGTTGATATACTGGATAAGGAATCTCTGCTGGTATTTAAAGCAAGCTCTCTTTGTCGTCTTACTTCCTCTTCCCTCTCTCGTAACTCCCTCATTTCCCGGGCGATTAAACTCTCACCCTCGTGTTGGAATCCAGAAATAGCATCCTCGTAACATACGTTAACTTTTTGTTCATTATGATTAATATCATTTTGTACAGAATTATTATCATTGGTAATCACAGTTTGTTTCGGGGTCGACGGTTGGCTAGAAATTGTGTCAACTACTATGTCTTTCTTTGTTCGTTGTTTCTCTAGCTCTTCTTCCTTTTCCTTCTGGAGTCTGATTTCTCTTTGTATTATACTTTCATATGGTACTTCTTCTGTAGTTTCACTGTCCTGAAATATACAGATTAAACATTAGTATCATGAGACATTTTCAAAAATGGTATCTTTTACATGTCAGCAATAGTATCAATTCAAAAATGTTGAATTATGGCTTGTTTTATGATACCACAATGATTATGAATCCTAAATCCATCCAAATTTGTTTTTAGTTTGATGAACATATCTTCCAGATTTTCAAATTATCTTAAAAAATCTATCCTTGAATAGAAACTATTCTGGGGATCCTGTATCAATATCCTTGTCCAAAAAAATTACTGATTGCCACAACATCTTAAACATTTTTTGTATTACATCGATGAAGTTTAAACTACATATTCAACTATCCTAGTATAATCTATCTCAAAATTTCTTCCATTATCACTTACATAGCGGGGAAAGACTTTTCGAACCATTGTGTTATGACCTTGTGAAATCCTCAATAAGAAATGAAGTTATGATGATATATACCAGTGTTTTTATAATAAAAACTATGAGATATTTAATATTAGTGTAGTTGTGAAGGTATGTAAAAGCTGATTATAATATATCATTATAACAGATTAACAAATACTGTCTCACTTATTTCAATCAAATTATTTAAAGGGATATGGTTGTTGAATTTTTTAATGAAATAACTACATGTATTGAATTCAATACACTTTTGAAAGCAGAATCATTAAGTTGTTCATTATGTACAAACCTAACCTGTTTCTAAAACTTCGTAAGTGTTGTTTTTTACATTGAGAAATATCGAACAAAAATTGATCAAATGATTTTTGTGGAATAACACCCTGGACCCTGCTTACCTATAAAACTTGTCTTCAATATTAAACATTAAAATGACAATTTATGTGTAAAATATTAGCCCTATGACAAATTTCTATGTTTAGATTTCTTGTGACTTTGGTCACTGACAAATGATTATCATTGTGAAGGTGATATTGATAATGAATATTGCATTTAATTTCGCTATGTCAGAATAAAATTACACGACTGTATCTCTTTACTTCAATATGATTATTTATCGTGTTGTCTTCCTTTGTATTATTATCTAGTAGGCTTAATATCACCTATCATATTAATTACCATTACTAGGTACAGGTTGGTACAGGTACAGATTAATTAATCAACAGATTATTTAAATCAGAAAAACTATTCAGGGGACAAAGTTTAGAGCCATGACTTTTTTTAACTGTTCATCCAATTTTACTGAAAACCAATTTATAGGAAAGTTGATTTTATTTTCAGGCAATTCATGTTATATCTAAAGTGCAAGTAGACCACTGGATATGTGGAATTCAGCCATGGAGATCCAGTAGGTCACAGCCCTTTCTGTTACACACAACAATCAAATGAAAAACTTAAAAAATACAAGCATGAATACTAATAAAAATGTTGCACAATGACCTTGAATATTGTGAATATTTTTGAATAAACTAATTTTATTATGTTTTTGTCACCAGTAAGAGGATAAAAATAACTAAGTTTTTTGTTTTGAAATTAAACTTTAAAATCAACTTATTTTTGCTAAGTTGACAGATACATGTATAAAATTAATTTATTGTATTTTGCTCAAGGGTATCTAAATATTTTAACACTTATGTAGGCTATCTATTTTTCAAAAAACATTTTCACACTTGTGTACTATCAACCACACAAAATAAAGACAGGCAAAGTTATCTATCTACATTTCAGAAAATATAACAATTTGAAACAAATGACATAATCTCAATAAATTAATGGAAACTGCTCAGTTGTGATATATTGAGATGTCTTCTGATAGACAGATAGAAATGACCCATTATCTTAGAAATATCTTAATATTATTTTAAACAATAGGTGTCCAAACAGCCTCGAGCTCTTGTCAATAATAAATTATATTAGTCATAAAGTTATTGTTACAGATCATCAGACGTGGTCAATCTTGAAGGGAAAGTCAAGACCATATTAATTTAAGTGATCAAACCCCTATTTTCTTATCAAAACTTCACAGACAGCTTGCTACACACGATTTGAAAGACACATTAATTTTGTAAGTGGTTGTAAAATTTGAATAAGATAAAACTGAGTCAAAATGGTTTAAAGTTGTCAAATCAAAATGGTTTAACTTTGACGAAATCATAACACTTCAATATGATATCAGATGTAAACCATTGTAGGTAGAGTTTATGAAATATCTGGCTAAATAACTCATTATATAAGGCTTTTTAACAAAAGAATTAACCTGGGCATGTCCTTCATATAGCCTGAGGTAAAGGGACTAATAAAATATGATATTATCGGTCATTGTTTTAGCCCCTCGCTGTCAGATAGAATATATTTATTACAGTACAACTCGCCGCTAGTCTTACTATATTTATTACTATATTTATTACTCTAGATATTAGATATTATCTTTCTTAGGTTTTATAACAATGACCCATGGTAATGACACAAAATAACTGCATTATTAGTGAATAGATATGTGCTTCATGTAAACCTTGGTGTGGTACATTGATAAACGATGTAAAAACTCCATTTAACTTTTGATATTGATACAGAGTAACTGCACTGTTCTTTGTAAGCAAATTTTTTATCAGTTTTTGCTTCTTTTGCTCTTTGTAACAACAATGTAAATCTTGGGTGCCAAAACCATAGATGTGCAATACTCCAATGTGAGAATTTTTTGACAAAAGCATTATATTTACAAATTTTCTGTTAGTAATTATCTATTAGCAATATGCGATTCATTTTTCCCTCTATTATTTTGTTTAGATCTGGGAGTTTTTTTGATAAATTTTGTAAGTGTTGGTTTTTATGAGTGAACATCAAAAGATCTAGACGTTGAATAATATATCTGAAGCCCATGTTACCTCAAGCTTTCTTTTATCACCCCTTCTATAAAGATATAATCTACTGTCTATTTTGTTTATGATAATATAATACAAGGTCAAACTCTATTTCAAATTTTTGTTTAAATTTCTGCACTATGGTGGGTCAAAATATAAGACATCTCGAGAATCAAAAAATATCAGATTACAAGTTAGCTAGTTTCATGCATATTCTGGTACTCTTGAAAACAATTCACTATACTATTTTCCTACAAACAAGGTTGAAATTTTATTCATTATTTGCATTTCAAGGAGAAGTCAAAATTTGGATATCAAGTATTCAGCTAGCTCATTATATAGATAAGATAGAGAGTGTAGTCTAGTCATGAATTCAGAATAATGCCTAATTATAACACTAAATCTAAATCCTCAAACACCATGTGCTCCTTTCATAATTTTCAATCCCTAAGAATGAGTCAATTTAAAGCTGACATTTTAAGAGTATATTTTTAACCTTGAGACTCAGTACAAATCAAAAAGAAATTTATAAAGATGAGGATAATAAGCTTTATTAATAGATTTTATACTGAATATATCTCTATTCATCCTTTGACTGAGGCTTCAATAATGCTTCAATGATTATAAATTTCTAAGCCAATCATTAATTATATTAAAAAGATGACAGGTATGGTGTTTATTGATGTCTATCTATCTAGTTTGTATACTGGTAGGTTGTGAGGAGTTTTAAAGCAATGCACTGATAACGATACATAATGTATGACATGCTTTCTTACTTTCTGCAGTAGGGGCCTGCTCAAGAAAGATATAATCTATTTAATGCTTCTATGGGATGAAAATACTTTTAATATCCTGTCTGCTGAATTTGTAGGAGCTGCTCAAGACTTTAAATATAAATTTTACTATGCATGATATTCTAAGGGGATGCTTAAGACTTTACCTCTGTGATATTTTGAGTGGGCTCAAATATATTGACATCACTGTTTCCTTGTCATAATCTTTATTTTCAGGGAGGAGCAAGTATTTAAAACATATCACAAGCCGTTTTGGTAAAATGGTATCATCAGTCCTATTAGTATCAATTTAATTGTGCGAATAGAACTAATCATTGTTATCTTACTATAGTAAAGAAATGATGTGAAAAGTGGGACGTTATCCTTCAGCAGGGCAATAACCTGATATATATATATATATATATTTTAAACTGAGGGATATCTTATTTCTATATAACGCTCTACAATTATATTGAGCACTGTTTTTACAGTGAAAATATTGTATTGTATATTTTAAACTTATCCACGTGTTAGAGACTGCTCAATCATAGTTTAAAGGGATAGGACAATAATTGATAAGTATAAAAGGGGCAAAGTTTAAAAGAAATCACTCATCTGATGGGTAATTATGAGTCACTATTGTATTTTAATGGGGTGGGGCCTCTAATGTGTTATTAACCAAAAACATGTATGACCTTATATGATGAGTTATAAACGGCTTATAATCTGATAAACTTTAGGGGAAGTTAACTAATCTTGTTTGGCAACACTTATGATGAAATTTTTTTTAATGGAAGAAATTCAGATACCATACCTGACGATTTCGTACTGGAGTTAAACTTTTTCTTTTTAAAGCAAGTTCTCGTTCTTCTTGTTCACGTAATTCTTGTTGGATCAAAGTTTCCCGTTGCCACATCTCAGATCCTCGATCAGCTTCAGTCATCTCGTGATAAAGTGGTTTGTTTACAGGTGGAGATTTAGCTACGTTTTCAAACGACGAAATATCTAAACGTCCATTTTGTTGTTCCTCTAATTTTAAACGTTCCTCCTTTTCACGTCGTAAGAGTTCTTCTCTCTCATTGGCTAATCTAATTTCACGATCAATGGCACTTTCGTTTTCGGCCATTTTGTTATTTAGTGAGGAGACGACTTGGGTTTGTTGTTGTTTTATTGTATTTCTAGGTAGAGATTGGGGAGGTAGTTTCACTTCCCAGCGTTTGCCACTTTCTTTAGTTTTATCCTTCGTATCCTTAAATCGATTATCAATATGATCTTTAAAGGCACCTTCCCATTGACGTTTTGTATTATGAAGACTATCTGAAATAGATTCGCGATCTACAAAGTCTGTGGTACCGTTTTCCTGAACTATATTTTGACTATAAATAACGTTTTTCTGTCCGTCCCAACCTGTATCTGCTGTTCTATTTTTCGGAGGTTCTGTATTCACCTCCCAATGTCTCACTTTGTTGGTTTCTGTTTTTACTACTGGCTCTTGCTCAGCTTCTGAAAATACAAAGGGAGGTAACAATTAGTGACCTTTCTCTCAAAATCCCAATAAATTTTGGATTGTTCTGTTCAAATTTTTAAGTACATTTCATAACTCATTTATCATGTCAACATCCTCACAAAAAATTACACTTCAAAAACTATTGAGAAATGCAATAATTTTCAAGAAGTTTTATTTCCTGATTGTATTTTCAAATCAGCTCTTTAATGTAATCAAGTTCTAAAATTTGCACACTCAGCAATTTACAAGTGGCAATAAAATTTGCACTTTAAATAAAATAAAAATTCTACAAGGTACTACTAAATCACATAAAAACAATAAAACCTTAGGAAAATTTTCATATTTCAAAAGAACCCAGTTTATTGTTTTTATTTCTGATGGTATTTTAATGGAGTCATTGTCTTGATGCTAGTACGTGCAGTGGTGGAGCCAAAGGGGGTGGGGTGGGGGGCAGGCGGGGCTGTTTTTTGGGCAAAAATCTCATAACTAAGTTAGAAATTTGGGCAACCTCTCGGATGTAAACCTGGCTCCACCACTGGGTACGTGTAAACTCTACATGTTGTAAGAATGGATATACTATATAAGGTCTTCAGGAAGTAAAATGACCAAACATGTCTGTAACTTCATTTATGTAATGTTGTGTCAACAATTATTCTAATTTTCATGTTTTATATCTATATATAGTGTATTAAGGTGTGTTTAAAATATAGAAAACCATTATGAAGTTCTATGTCCTGGTTTTATAACAATCATCTGACAAATTATGTAGCAGAAATAAAAGGAAACTCCAAAAATATTATCTGTAAACTGGCCTATGATATCAATATTTGAGAGATCTGAACCAGGAAAGTCTTGAAAAACAAACATTCCTTGATTTGTCAGTCCTTCATATATTCAGGATCATGTTTTCTTTCTCAATCCATCGAATTCTAACAAGAGAACTGAAATAGGAGAGGAAATGCTAATATTTTGGATTAATTTGGCCAGCAAGGATTAAAATGCCTTAAAATGAGTCCCAATTCGCTTCATCTTGGTCACTTTCTACCTGTTAAAACAATCAGTATAAAGTACTGGGTGAGGCCACTATATTCAATGAGTCATAAAATAGGGTTCAAAAGAGCTGAAGTTTTTACATGTTTTGATCATGTTTTCTGACTTGTATATAAATAATGTGTAGGTTTTATTATCTGAATATTTTAATACATTTACTCACTGTATTATTGACAATCAATAACTTAAAAAAATATGTATTAGGTCACAATGAGAAATATTTACAACAATATCAACAATTTATGCATTTAGTTGAACATTTATCCTGTTTGACATGGGAATTTTCAGTAAGAAAAACAAAATACGCCCATTATAATATCAAAGTTTTCTCCAATAATAAAATCAATCAGCTAACAATAATCCTGATTCAGATATTACGAAACACTCCATTCGTTTGTTTACAAAGGAATATATAACATACATACATATCTTCGTTGGGTATACATTTACCATAAAGGGCATAATGTTTACTTATAAACAGAAGATTGAGGTAATATATGTGGAAATGAATATGTATAGTATAATAAATACCAGTAAGAGACAAGTTAAATGTTTTAAGACATCAACTTTTAGAGCATGACAAATTTATGTTTTTGAATACGCATATTGAGTACTACAAGCGTATATCAAGTTTTTCAATGCTTAAATTTAAAATTCACACACAAAGAGACCCTGTTTTACCTTAATTCAATATGCAATGGTTTTATAACTGACAGTGGCCACAAATATTTCTTGATGTGCACTTGTGTCTCTAGACTAATCACTTTGCGGATGTCGATCTATTAACTGAGCTATCTTATTGATACCTGTGTGTTGGGTGTTATAGAAGATACTCTCCTATAGAAGCACTGTCCAAGGTCACAAGAAGAGAACATACTACAATTATCAATTTGAGTAACAAAGATTAAATTAAAATGTTCTTCACTGGGTGCAAAGAGAAATTACAACAATGTAAATTCTGGAAAGACTGGAATAAAACAATGCTTACAAATAATATAAAAAAACTATGTTTGATTAGAGCTTACAGATTCTGAGTGTGCTTCAAGTGGGAATCTGAAACCAAATTGTTAATGATCAGGTCCTCATCTGGTTAATTATCACAACATATAAACCCTTATCTTATGATATTCAATACAGTTACACAGATTGAGCCAGCAGATACACGTTCGTGTATATATATATAGGGCCCACTGTATAATGTATAATAAAGACCCTAGTGCACTTATTTACCAAACCCTATACTATTCACAGAAATCCCTTTTATATTCAAATGAAAGATTCAAATCTATTGCACTTAACACCTTCAAATTTTCTCTTTACATAAACAAAGTATGAAATTGTTATCTTACCTAAAGTTAAATCCTATCCTAACCTATATACGGGTAGGTAGGCCAATTTACTATCCTTACACTGTATGAGTATAAGTCCCAGGTAATGTCTAAATTCTAACTAATAAGTCACCTGATTAACTGATAAACTCTATCCCTGTTGACATGTTTTTGACAGGTAAATGGGTGTGGCCTATTATTCAGGTGTATTATATTTGTCTATGTAATAATATTATCAACGTTTCTGTACTCATTGTCATCTTATCATAGTTCATACCTTTGACATTTTCAAGTAGAGAAATTTCTATTTCTACATCTACAGTCTGTCATCAAGTACAACTTATGCAACAGATCAATTCCAAATACTCATTTGTACTATAGACATTGAAATTTTTTAATTTACCACTAATTGTACGTTCTGAAATTTGTAAAAGTGTTATATAAAAGATTATGAAATCGTTCTACAAAAATATTTTAAATCTGTACTAAAACTCTGACTTTCTCTATGAGCCTTTCAAAGCATTACCATCATTATCGTTGTTTCATTGCAGAGAGTTCACATAGCTATTTCATTTCATATATTTTTTCCTACATATTTACCTTATCAACCCATATTTAGTTTCAGAGATAACTTATGACTAATTGCGGTTTCTGGGTTTTTTCTTTCCAATTATGATGAATCAGGTGCTTATCAATCAGTTGATAATTAACAGTAGTTAATATATTAACAAGCTATGACTAATAACTAATATAGTGACTGTTTTATTAATAAGGAAAAGCCCATATTGTTGACAAAATCAGGAAAACTGCTACAGACATTAATCAAATTCATTACCGGTAATAAAAATAATATTGTACAACACCTATTAGTAACATCGGTTCATATTTAGGAAGCAAAAAATATTGTCAACTTGTCAAAGAAAAATCAGGAAAACTCAGTTATTTTTAACTAAACAATTATTTACTTTAACCCAATGAGGATAATTTAAACGACTATTCCTCTATCAATATTTACATTTTTAAGTAGTTATATTGTCAGGATTTACCTACATAAGGAAATATACTCACTAGGTCTATAAAAGTATTCAAAAGATTTTCTCATTCAAAGTTCAAACCTAAAACACCTTCCTGATTCAATCCATGATGAATTGATGGCAAACTTGACAGAAATTACATACTTTAAATGTTTGTTCATCAGAAGTTGAAGTTCATCTTCTTCTGTTAACATGTGTTTTGGATGCAAACTCCAGCATCAAGATAACTGATAGAGAATATAAGTAAGCAACTCACTGATGTGGAGCAGAAGTTTGATCTGAGGTATATTCAGACTGTCCTTGTCTGGGGTACATCTGTCCTAACATGAGAAAACAAGGTGTAAAATATCACCAAACTGTTAAGTTAGCTTTAAACAGTTAATACATCCTATTAAAGTATTAAGACTACCTGAAATATTGACTGATGTGCTAAATAATGTTTTAATATCCTTTGATACTCAGACTTAATCAACTTATATTACTCTCTTATCAATTTATCCATTTTCTAGAGACGTTTGGCTGTGCAATATATGTTTGGCTGTGCAATATATGTTTTGCTGTGCAATATATGTTTGGCTGTGCAATATATGTTTGGCAGTGCCATGGAGAATTGGTGCGTTAGACTCCAAATCAAAAGAAATGTCAAAAATTGTGGGCAATATTCATTACTGGACTGATTTTTTTTTGCCTGAAACAAGTTCCAATTGTTTAACATATGACAATCTGATTCATAATTCCCTTTGTTAATCTTCCCTGCCATACAGTGCAAAATCAGGACCAGAAATGGTTAAATGAGTAGAATGAAATTACCCATTGAGAAACATTTATGAGGAGAATTTGAAAAGAATACAGAGAGGGTCGTGGAAGGAACAGCATCAAATAGTTATAGTTGGATAAAATAACAAATGCATATTCATAACTCCATAGATGAATGCAGGCTTGTCAGAACTGGTTATTCAATGATGTTTTAAGTGTTTATTACACCATTTAAGGTTTTGCCAAACCTCAAAATTCATTTCCAATCAAGAAGCTAGACTATCAATTCAATTCAGAATAAAGGGAGGTAATATTTATGGTGTCGTTTTATTATTTTCTAATAGTAATCTCATCCATCATTCTCAATTTCAATATTTTACTCATAAATCCTCTCATGTAATAACTTGACTAAGGTGTGACAGTCGCACAATTACCTTGTTAGGCAACTTTTAGATTAAGTGCAATGAGACAGAACTTGGGCTATCTTTGGCACAGGTGCTGTGTATGTAATAGATCCTATTTATGAAAAATCAGAGAGCCCTAAATCAACAGTTTTAAATCACCATGTGGCAAACTATTTCTGAATCACTAGTTCTGATGAGGGCTGGTCAGAAAGATTTGAAACTGAAATGTGTCTGACTGTTCTTCAAATGTTAGGACTAATGAAATGAGGTCTTGAATCTCACTAGTCTGCTGCACATCATTGGATTAATGGAAAACAGAACATTACAGCAGACAATGCAAATAGATCTTAGTAATAACCTTGAGGTAACAGTCTAAAGTCCATGAAGTAATATCATCACATTTGATAAACAATAAAAGTGTGTAGGCCCTTATCGCAAGTTTTTTTTTATATAAAATCTATTTACATTCAAGTATACCAACAAGATTGTAATAAAGACTGTAAAAGTTGCTCCTATATTTACATGGTAAACTTATTATTATTTATAAAAAGTTACACCTAAAACCAGTCCCACTCCACCTTATTCTATATAATTACAGTTAATGCAACTAATTGTGCATAAATACATAAAAATATACACAAAGATGCAATTTAATTTTACCAGTCAGTTTATAAAAGGATTGCAAGGATGCATTTAATGATGAGTCATAGATGTCAATTCAGTCAAGCTATTGAGAGCTGGGGTGGCTCAGTAAGGTGGATGATTTCATGCTTATTTAAGTGTTTTGGTTTTGACCCTGGTAAAAGTACAGATAATACTTTTAGATATAGACCTTGTTTGTCACTGTTGATACTGCAGTTCTGAGGGGCTACTTGGTTGCTACTGTTAGTAATGCAGACAGTAAACTGAAGCATGTCAAAGATTCATCATCAATTGGAAATTGTAAAATATAGATCAATACCACTGTTCTTGCATAATTTCTCTCATTGAAAACTGCACTGCATTGCCCTTACTCATTAGCCAAATCAAGTGCAGAAAAATAGGATGTAAACTCCCATTTCATTTCTTATTTGATCGATAAAATAGAACACATACCTGGTTCTCTGGTAAACCACAACAGAAATAAGACAATCCACAGCAAATTACCAATGATTAATATATGTCAACACCTTGTAGGGATCATTCAAGATGTTCGAAAATGACAAAACTAGTGTTACTATTGAAGAATGAGTTATTCTGTAAGTTGTGCTGCACCTTCTAATACATTATCATATTGATGAATGTTTGATTTACAGGTCATATTTAGTGAATAGTTTTGAATAGAAATGGACACGGCACAATGATCGTCAACCATCGTCTGTTTACCTACTTAACTATTTATAAAATCTATCAAACCATAGCTATATGCCTATTTGTGCCCTTTATCTTAATAGAGGTAAACTGAGTCCTTACTGAGACAACAATAAGCATACCTTGTGACCAGTAATCATTCTATATACAGGTGATATTCTTTATATGGTATGATATACCTCATTAATAAACCTACACAAACCTTTTAAGGAGTTTTACATCCTACTATTCTGCATTTTATTGAACTATAATCAAAGTTTTCCAATAAAATATATTCCCCTGTGATAGGTTCTCAAACTTTACTGACGAACAAATTCATAAAAAACTTGCCATAAGATTAAAATCTGCCTCTTTATTATTTTCTTCAAGAATTTGGTACAAAAGGACTATATAGATATTAGTGGAAAATGAAGGGTTTTTTTTTAGTTTGTCATTGTCCAAAAGAACAACCACTGTGTACCAAGAGTAGCTAGTTTCTAGAATTGACACAACATGTTAATATGTAACATCATCAATTTACTAAAAATAAACACATCATAAAAACAAAACAAGGTCTTCTATTATCGGTTTTTAAAAAACATTTCAGAAATATTTAATGGATAAGCTTATATAATTTACTAAAGACTATAGAGGCAGGAGAATGAGTTGATAGATTCAGTGGGAACGGAAATGTATGTTTTCAGACAGTCAATTTTCATGAAAGTTGGAAGCAAGACAAGAGTTTTCTATGAAAATATTTCTGTAGGTCTGAAATCATAGGCTCCTACAGCAATGATAAAATTTAATCGCATAACTTTAAGATGTTTCTTTCAAAAGAATGAATACAAAATGGAGGTTCAAGGGCATAAAAAGGAGTGGAGAAGTTCATGTCTTATAGAACTGATGCTACTATTTATCGGTATTATTTAGTTATAGGTAAACCAGTAAACAGATTTCAAATTTTAAAAGTGTTTTGTTGTTGGTACCTTAATTTGGGCCCACAAGAGCAAACAAGAACAAAAAGAGGTCCTTGTATTCAATTTGTAACCAGAACTCTATCAGAAGGTAAACTAAATAGTCACACAAGCGTATCCATACAAATAAATCTTACAAGCTCAAACAGATTTATGCAAATCTACATGCATAGCTTCCATCTTACCTTTTATAGGTTTCATATATGACACAGGAGATAGCACAATGGTAGTTCTAGAAATAAATACCTCCATTTTAATATTGAAATATTCTTACGAAATAACAAAAACAAGTTTAATTAAGGGTGTCCTCACACCTTACAACACTAAAATCACTCAACGGTACAAACGAAAGAAATAAAACAACTTTCTTCATCATCTTACACAACCAGTAAATATGATAAAAGGCCGACCCATGACATATCTTTGTTTTATATTTCATGTTTTTTTTTTTGACTACATGCAGACGTGACAAAATATCTTTATATGAATTATTTATCATTGAGAGACGACACAAAGTGTTTTAAATTGAAAGAAGACATTAACAAAAGTTTTATACATCTGATTATAACAGAAAACAATTGAAAACAATCT